ATGTACAAAACTTGTTCTCTGTTTAATTCAAAAAAATGCATTGAATATGGTCTCTTTTATATAATTTGGCCAAACCTTACTCCTGTTCAAAGCTAACTCGTTTGAAAAATATACTCACGTTGAACGACATATCTCATTTATACATTTGCTCAACAAATCCGACAAAGTGTGCATAAGAATGTTCACGGTAAATGAATATAGAAAAAAATCTGAATGTAAAATGCATGCAAAAAATATGTGTTCCGATCTGTATTATATGTGTTGAGTTTTAAATAAACCCCAAAAAAAGAGTTGAAGATGGCACCCAAAGTCGAACACTATACCCACAGCAACCAAGTAATTTTCTTTTAACCACGAAAATCAACATATCTCATTTTGTATACATGATATTACAATGACAAGGCATCATTTCGTAAAATGGTAGAATTTTGTTCGCCATCGTCATGTCGTCAATCTTCAAATTCATTTCTACCAAGATACACCAGATTTAAAATTAATGAGCGAAAAATTATGAGATAGTTGGTTTCAGATCGAAAAAATCTTCTGAAAGAACTAAAATTGAAGCGAAAAAAAAGAGAAATAAATAAATAAAAACATGTCTGAACATTAGTTACTGAAGAATGATTCGACTTTGTCTGTTTGATCGAACGAAAATATTTTAACATGAAAAGAACTCGAATGGACGATAAAGAAATGTATGAAAGAGAAGACAGAACACAGATGATTTGAAAACGTTTGGCGATAAAAAAAAAAGACGCAAAGATGCGCTAAACAAGCAACCGCTACAACAGCATCATTGCGTTGTCGTCAAAAAGCATTCTCATCATTCATTTTGAATGAATTTTGCTTGAAATACGACGCTGGTCATTGAGCTCTAGCTCAAACCAAAAGAAACAACACAAAACACAACATAACACCAAAAGTACAATAGTTTCGTGGTCGACGATTTAAAACAGATTCAGTTTTTTTGTTTAACTTTTGTTTCTTTTCATTATTTTCTTTTGCGTTCATATTCATATCTGTGATGTTGAATTTACATGTCAAACAAAGTTCCTATCTTCTCCAGACCTTTTTTTCTTCCACTCTCATCGGAAACATTCGACAACAAAACGGCATTTAAACGCACATTTGTATTTTCGATTTTTCCCTCTTCTTCTTCAACTTATTCATATCTAACCACATCTTTTCACGTTTTAAATAATCAGATTGCACATCGCTACGTATATTTTTATTGTTTAAAACTTATATTCATTTATAAAATGTTTGATCATTGAGACAGATGAAGAAATTTAGTATACAAAATACACAAACGAAAAAAACAAAACAATGAAAAATATTTGATTTATGAATTATATAGTGGCTTTGTGCGATCTATTTAACATGAAAGCATGGGGAAAATTCAAAAGAATCTATTTGTGTTCATGCACAAAGAGAAATCGACAACAATAAAAAGAAGTGAAGGAAATGTCAGAGAAGTTCAAGTTCATCTATTCACCCGATTCCATCTTCCAATCAAAAGTGATTGAATATAATCATTTCCTCACTTTCTCCAAAAAAAATTCCAACACCATTGAATTCGAAACTGTGGATGTGAACATCGTTTTTAGCATACACATTAAAGTGAATGATTTCTTGAAATTAATAGCTAATGCTGATGAATTTATAAACATTTTAACACAATTTTATTGACAGTTTGAAAAATGCGTAAATTTGCACCTCTTTCGTTTGATGACTTAATTAACCAAAAAGGCGTTGGTCAATTTAATGTGCCATTGTCAAATTGACTAAAAAATGTGCCAAAATATTGTTTACAAAATATATAATAGGCGATACACGTCATTTGTTGATATTTGTCTAATCAAAATCATAATTCAAATAAAAATCGAGTTAGTTGTCCTTTAAAACGGAACAAATTCTTAAACAAAATGGCAATATTTAATTTGTCATGGTATATTTTGTGGCGATTGTTGAGTATTAGAATGAGATCAGTGGAGAAGCAAATAAATGCGTTTATTGAAGTAATCGATGGTCACGAATGTATGCTCAAGAGCAACAGAAGAATAATTGGCTATGATTATCAGAAACGTTGCCGGCTCCTAAGTCACATTTTGAGTGAAGATGCGGTAGCCGGGTACGTGCATATAAAAATAGTTCTATAATATAAAGAAACGATAATAAACTGATTAAAATAATAGGCATGTACTTGCCTATATGCAACCTGATGCTATTCAATTTTGCAGCGTCAATGTTAAGTTCTATTATCGTCTGTTTTTCTTTTCTTTTGTGTATTTTTCTTCCGTTCGGTTTTTTTTATGCAACTTAATAAAACAATGGAGTTTGATATTGATTGAAGACACTCAATTTGGTTATAAACGTCACATCGCTAATATTGAGCACCACGAATGCAAATTACCTGCAAGTCTGCAACAGAAGACACAACCATTTAAGTAAAAAGCACATTTTTATAATTACGGTTGGTTACAGAAATGATAAACGTTTTTTTCTCTTCTTTTATATACGGCCATTTTTATTAATATGGCACTCAACATCTGCCATTGTTCAGCCATTGTACTGCATGCAGAATGCAAATATATAGATATGTTAAAATAGAATGATTAAATATACATTATCAACTCGCAACATTTTCTGTACGTACAGTTTTTTTCTTCAGTTTTGAATGCCATGCACTATCCAAAGAAATGCACTCTGTGCAGTACAACGTGGCCGCCATATAAGCGCTCTAGGCCCATTTTAAAAGGGCTACTTATAACAAAATTTGCAGAAATTGCACTGCTGTGAAAGTGATGTCTTAGAAAATCGTACAAATATTTCGGATTGTGTTCACATTTGAAGTAGAATAAAAAAGAATACTTTTGCTATTGTAAATTTATAGTTTTCTCGATTTTAGATTCAGGTGGTTTTATACCGTGGTTTTGATTTTGAAATTGCGAAATTGTTGAAATAGATGAATCAAACAAAAGTTACCAAAAGAATTAAATTCGATTATATATCATTGGATTCAATTATTTTCATGCTATGTGCATATGAATTAAACATATTTTGTAGGAAATTAATTTTCGAAACGATCACAGGGGCTCGGCCCACTCGAAAATTTTAAGTCACGCCACGACACTAAATATACCCTATGAATTCAATCTTCACAGACACACATATCCAAATTCAGTTCATCGTATCACACATATCCAAATTTACATTGTCAATTACAATGTTCTTGGAGCATCGTGAGATGAAGAACAACCGTTATTCGACATTCATTCATTATGCATCGCATTGTTTCGCCAACGGTTTTCTTGTTTTCTTGTCGCTGTCATTTCCTAATTAACCCAACAAACATTTATTGTGGCAAATTCATCCATTATCGGGCATATGTTGACGGTCAATATTTGAATTTCGGATCGATTCGTGTGTAGTTTCAGTCAATTTTACCGTCAAAATGGAAAGGAAAAAAAAGTAAAAAACAATTCAGTTAGATTGAATGCAAAAATAAACTATCAATTCAATAAAGTACTCACCTACGGGTTCTTTTATATTCCGCACAGCCCTAAATAGGGACCCGTACTGTCAAGGGTACAATAGAAATCCTTGGATTTAAACTATTCACGCCTAGTAACTAACAAAATTGCTAGGGGAAATGATCTATTCGCGAATGGACAAAATTTATTGATTGTATGATAAAGTCGTCATTTTAGTAAAATAATTCAAGAAATTCGCATACAATTCGCAAACTATTCGCAAAAAGTTATCACAATCAAACTATATAATATACGCTTGCAAACGAACCAAGTGAATAGCGGCGACGCAAGGAAACGAAGTGAGTGAATAGCGGCAGCGGATAACATTTTTTCTTTCGTCCGTTGTCGCTATTCACTCATTTCGTTTTCGTGCGTCGCCGCTGTTCACTTGGCTCGTTTACAAGCGTTCACAATTTGATACATACAAAACTTACAAATTTTGCGAATTGTCTCACGTTCATAGCGTTTTGTTTGCGAATTGTTTTTTAAATCACAACTTTACTGGCCCATCGCTTACAAATCATTTCGCATAAAATTCGCAAAATATCGAATAATTCGCTATTTTTTGATCGAGATCCGATCCCCTAGCAAAATTGTTAAAATATTCTTCTTATGATTATTGTTGATTTTATGCTGCTATCAGTTGACATTGTTCGCATGGTGTGGATTGTCAGGTCTCTTCAACGAATCGGGCAATGGTATGCCAAAAAGACGACACATTCCTATAAAATCAGAAACAAACACAAAACATTAATCAATTAATATGAACACTGAACACCTAACGCTCTGCTCTCTATTCTCAATTATACAATTATGCACATAATTCACCTTCTCGAGTTAATGACCAAGTTTTGAAGATAACTTTTATCTTTGGCACTAAACGCTCGATGTTCTCACGATCTGGATTGATTGCTCTCTCTACAATTCGCTCTTTCTTAAGCTCTTGTCTGCTCAAATTCGTCACAATTATCGGTGGTAGTTCAACAATCGGTTTTGGTATGCAATTTCGACAAATTTTGAATCGATGATTTTTGGTTTCTCTTGGAAATCGCTCGTGACAATTGGCACACGTTATTGATGTACCCCATTCATCTTGAAAACTGACCTTTGTGTGCTCTTGTTTCTTGAAACTGATTGCCAATTTACGCGTTCCCGGGCATCTTTTCCGCTTCTTTATGCCCCATGGCCGATTTGGTGCCATGAATCCAACACCAATCCAAATCCAAGACGGTTTGTTCTTCGTTATCCGCATGGCAACTTTATCACTTGTTTTGGTAGCCTTGATGTGATGATCGACATCCAATCGTGCATATTTTCGAGTCGCATATGCTTGCATTCCCATTCGTAGCATTTTGATGCGATGCTGAATGTACGATTTCCACGTTGATCCACGCGGTGATGGTATCACTGGGTACGACTTGAAATCCATTTGTTCTTCTTCAACAAACCACCAGGTCAACCGATCAGCCTTTCGATCTCTCTTCTTCTGCTCGGTTTGTCAATGAAATCGTGGATTGGATATTTTAATGTTTTCCTGTTAAATAATAACGTCAAATTTCAATCACGTTCCAAAAAAAAACATTGTAATAACAAACTTAACTTACCTCAATGTTTGACTTGATATGGCGGCGCACAACGGCCACCCACGTTTTCTCGTTCGGATCGATGGCACTAGCATATGTCATGTTGTTAAATGTGGCCTGCTCTGAATTTTCCACCCAAGCCTTCGCTGGCTTCTCGTACAATATTGACACGCAAACACTATTGGTGACGATTTGGAAGTTAAATTGCTTCTGCTTGCCGATTTGTTTGATTTTATCCATGTCGAAAACCAAATTCCACAATTCATCTCTATGGCCGTACATGTAATAGTCCAGTGTGTATTTGTTCATTCGATTGGTCAGCGGATTGCGAGAACTGGGCACCACTCCTAGTACAGTGTTCGCCAAATAATACATATCTGTCATATCCAATCGAACGTTTTTCAGTTGGAATCGGCATAACGGGGCAAGTGCGAAATTGATGAAACACCATATTTTTGTGATATTCTTCCCGTATGATTGACTTGACGCCTTGTTTTATGACTACAAGGTTCTTAATGTCGTCTTTCCTTTCGGGTGGACTGTATAAATGAAACGAAAACAAAGAAGAACATACACACTTTTTTTAAAAAAACTGGTCACAAAACAATATCGCGAAATTGCATCGAAAATCCAATGAAAAAAAAAACACAGAATAAATATTAAGAAAAACACTGCTTACATATTAAATTGATCCTCTCTTGATCTTGTTCTACTCATGGTTTAATCAATCAATCAAAATTTCTGGTGCTTTTCCAAATATTATGGGATAGTTATCACTATTTTCGGTTGCAATCAAACGATTCTATTGATAAATCAATATATGCAAACAAATTTACAATATTTTCATTCAACAACTCAATCACTCCACTTTGATTTGCCACAAAACTCTGCCGAAAATGCATTTTTAAACAGGAACATAACAAATCACAAACGAGAGAATTGTCGAAATGGCTCTTTTTTCAAATGTGTTTCGATGATTTGGAATATTAACAGTAATACTTTATAAATGTTCTGTCGTTTGAATTGAAAACAGAAACAGACACAAAATATTTCCGCAAATATATCCATCACATTTCGTGAACACACGATATCGTTGTATCAAAACACTGACGAAGCACATCACAAAAACAAGCGGTGATCGGGAAAACTGCTGTACGGTCAAAATTCTACAGTTTGTTGCGTTCGCACTAGTATTTCGTTTACAGAAAAACAAAAACACAAACACATATTATATTGTCTCTCTCACATGTTTCGTTTCTTTGTGCTGTGACATGAAAAAGCCACTGATACAATATTAGCACTAAAATCCATTTGTCTTATTTTATCATGTTGAAAACTGAAATCGGTTGTCATTTTGAATTTAATTTGTTTGAAAAAAATAACAACAACGCACATTTTCTGACCGCTAATAAGAACAAAGAAACTCGTGCGTATGAATATCATGGATATACTCTACATTCCGTTTGACACTAAAATGGCCACATAATTATCCTTGTGAATGTGTGACTCTCTCTGTTGTGCATTTGTGTGTGTACAAACTTTCAATTGTTGCGACCGATTCAATATTGCATGTTTCAAACCGAAACACCGAATGAATTTGTTTATATCACTTTCCCTCACACACACACAAACTCTGTATTCGTAGCGATATTTGACTTTTTGAATTTGTCCAACTGAATTTTAGGCGACGGAGAATGCAATCGTATGAGATTGTTGTTGTTGTTGTATACCAAAAATCATCTCTTTCTAAACTGGCGGCACTTCTCAGTATAGTTTTGGCCGCAATAAAAAAAATCAATCCCGTTAAATATTGAATAGAGTGATTTGTTGAAAAGAAAACAAATCTGAATGGCAACTCATTATATTTCGTTGTGATTTTGTGTATTGAAACATTTTTGTCAACACACTGTAATTTTGTCGATGTGTGATGTTCAATATTCAACTGATCCTTGCCTTCTTAATGATGCTGGACATATGTATGAATATAAGTGATACAAAATGCAATCAAACAGCGAAAACAGTCGATAGAATTGTTGATATAAATTTACACATACTTTCTGTGTTTCATTCTATACAATGCATGTACTTTTGGAGCCATTTATATTAATTTTCGAGATTGTGAATTTCCTAATTAAGATTTCTCTTGCTAAAAAATTGTTAGCAAAAGCATGTTAGAGGAGTAATTTATATGCAAGTTTTGTGTGGTATATCGAAAACAGAATTTTCCTTCTTTGAATGATGAATGTTGGTACTTACAGGCGGGTTTTATTTCGAGTTTAGCATATGCAAGAGAATTGAAATTGTAGATAAATAGAAAAAAATGGCACACCGTCAATGCAAGCATGTGAACATACATCGATGAAAATATATGAAATATTAAAATCGTTTTATGTGTAAAACACATTTCACTTAACTATTTGATTTCTTTTTCTAGGATCCGACTAATATCAACTACATAAATTGAGACGAGGATCCACAAAATTGAAATTTTATACAGAAAATTTATACAGAAAAACGACCAAGAGGTGATACAACGTTTAATGAATTCGTGAAATTAAAATGTAAGTTAAAATTATATTATTAATTTTTAGCAGATAAGTGTTCGAACGACAGATATCTGAAATGGAATAAAATGTGATTGTAAATGTCTTCTGTTTATATTATAAATAATTTATAATCGTAAACATTGGAACATGTTTTGAATCATTCGGGAGATTTCACGTTTTCAAACTTGCTTAACGCAAATGATATGCAAATTTTTAGAATTCTTAGAATAGGTCTTTGTTGGTTTTGAAAAGCAGCCCACGAATATGTCCAAAACAAAGTTAAAACACAAATGACATAATGTTATTTTTCAAAGTAAACTCAACGGAGTATTATTCTTTTCACATGTTATTGATTGAATAAAAACGATCACCGAATTTCTGTCGCGTCGAGATTTCAAGAAATTTCATCCATTAGAAAACCTTCCAAATGAAATAATATCTTAACTGATGATGGAAAATGCTTTTTTTGTCTAAACAAATGCTTCAAGTGGTCATCTCCGAAATATATTTTGTTCCTTCTTTTCATCTGTTTTTTATACTGGTATGCAGTATAATCAATAACAATCATTTTGTCAAATCATATTTCGAACTTCGCCGCCACACAATTAGTGATCGTTTTAAAAGGGATCGTATGCTTGGGTGCTCTTGTGAACTTTTTCCGAAAATATATTGTTTATATTTTCACGTAATTGCGTAAAGCGAGGTGAACAAAAGTGTCCAAATAAAATGAATACTTTTGCTTTTTTTCGACATTCGAAGAGTGGCGAAAAGTAAAAGTACGAACATTTTCATTATAAGTTCTGCGTGCATCTTATGTGGTTCAATTTGAATATGTGTTAGTACTACAAAATTTTGAAGCGATTGTCAAACAGGCGTTCTTTCAATATACGAAACTGAAACTAGTGCTACGTGAAATACTACCAGACGGCTAAAAAGTCTGTACCGATCATTGTTGAGTTTTATTTCGAACACATTACAAGTAATAGCATACCTCACCTCTCATATCTTTTCCATTACGTTTTCTCAGTCGTGGTTTTTTTTCTTCTCGTTGATGTTGTTGTTGTGCTTCTCTTTGGCTGCTTTGCTTTCATTTGATTTTCGAATGTATTACTTATTAAAATTGTAGAAAGCGTGTACAAACTCGTTTTGTATACTTTGGTGCAAATAGATTGAGCAGCTTTAGTGCATTTCGAGAGTGTGAGTCATAAATGGTGAAAAAAGGGCACACAACATGAAGCTTCAGAGTAACAAAAATAATTGAACGATGTTCACATGAGATCGACGAACAATAACAGAAGAAAAAAAAATGACTGCTCAAAATAAAGAGAAAAAACAATGAAACAAAATATATACTGAAACAAACTCAGTATAAAATGCGAAAAACGAAAGAAGTTCAAGGCCATGTTTGGAGATTTAACCAGATCAACACAATTTTACCGCTGCTGCCTGCTGGCTCGCAAGAATATTGCCATGTTTTTTTGTTTCAAAAAACAAAACAAAAAAATTATTTAAAGCAATTGTTGTCATGACTGATCACAAACATAGAACAGAATTGTTGAACTTGGTGTCAAAAATAATCATATCAAAAACTATTATTAGAGGCTGAGATAATTATTATTTGGTAAATATAGTGCTTTAACAATTTGCTATCGCTGTTAGTTAGTGCTGAAAAAAAATGAAATACATTCAATGTGCTAAATAAAAGTGAGCATGTGAGATATTTTAGATCTACCGATTTATGGCCGATTGAATGTCTCGACAAAGTTATAAATCTTTCCAACCATAATGGCTTTGATGAAAACTTTTATCGTAATATATAATATCTGTAATCCATAATCGGCGGAGAAGCATGAAGCATACAATCCATTTCGGCTACCATGTCAGTAAACTATAACAAAAAAAGAGAGAATCTAACCATCGCGTCACAGCTGCTCTTGGCTAAATGACGTTTTGCAACAGTCTTAATGAAATTCGAGCAAATAACCATGGGCCGTAATTTCAACAAATTTTATTGCAAAAAAAGATGAGAAAATCCAAATAAGGTGATTGATATTCATTTTTAAGAGCTCTTGATTCGATTATAATTTTGATTAATTCCGTTTATTAACGTTTGTTTTCTTTGGCTTACAATTACGTTGTACCTACAGATATATACTTAGGTGCTTAACAATTTAAAAGGGGAAAAAAGCATACCATAGGTATTCAACACACCAACTGGGCAATTTAGCCGCAGCAAAGATAGCCTGAAGCCAATTTTCATGCTGTGGAGGGTTTTTTATGTCCGATTTTACTTTGATTCCTTCGAAATTTGTAATGAATTACGCACTTTATTTATGTGGAAAAAAAAAAACAAACGAAAATGTATTAATATTATGTGCTGTTTGTATGATCAATTTATCGATCCCAAAACTGGATCGCAAACCTTGTAATCGAAAATGTGATTTCTTTCTATTACAATTCCGAATTTCCCGAAACTAGCCCCATCGCGTAACCAAACATTCAAAACATATTATGTGACAGTTTTCGCTGTTTAAACAATTAAAAATGACTAATAGCCTCATAGGTAGCGACCGAGCTCAACGAAACACAAATTATTTTCGCAACATTTAAAAAAAACGTTCATGCCATTGACCGTGTTTAAATATGTGTAAACTGTTATCGGTCATCAGTAACGCTTGAAAACAAAACCATTTTTTTTAATTCTGAAAAATAAATCCACTTGTGAATAACATACATCATTTGATAAATTTAGTCCATAATAGCTACAATCAGCTGTGATATTTTTGAAATCTATGTGCGACATTTGTTAAGAAATGATGGAAACATTTCATTTATTTATTTCACTACTTACTTTCCGAATTCAATATTTTATTGCATGATTTATTTGTATAAATCTGAAAGTATGCAGCATTGAAAAGAATATTTTTCTTTACAAGTTACAAAATTGACCTCCATATCCATGTCACACAGTGGTTATATTTAATTTAAATATGGATGTTTAATTTCTTTCAAAATGACTTTAAAAAAAATAATATTTAATTATTTCTAATTTTGTTTCAACGAATATATTTTCAAAATTACACACGATTTGTCAATTGATCCAACCAGAAATGATTTGATTGCTTTATTTATATCATTAACATTACTGCTGAATACACTTCAACTCAATTGCATATGAAATTCCTTCTATAAAAAGGCTGTCCAATTTAGTGTTTCACATCATGTCGTCACAATGGGATGACATAAAATTCAACTATATTTCCGTTGTAACTTTCATGAGATCAGCACACGTCGGCGCATAACAATGGTCGATTGTAATGCAAAAACATGGTACGTTTACATTCGGTGACGAAATCAATTGATTTCTCAGAATGTCAGCAGGAAGTAACAGTTAACGGTTTGCCAAAACAGAAACAATTTATTATTATATAGTCACTTTGTTCTTTGTTCTCAATTGTCGTCTTGACCATTGACTGCAAACAACTTAAGACAGAATTATCATATCGGTAAAACAATAGTTAATATATTAATTTGTACTGCAAAGTGTCATTGTTTTGAAACCGATAAATCAAGGTACTTGTATATTCTCAGATTTTGTAACAAATAAGCTTTTTTGTGTGTGTTTGGATTGTCGGAGCACAAAACGGATCATTTCAACATATACTATATATTGGCCATATTCGTTTCAACGGATGTTTGATGTCGCAAAATTTGCATTACACTTTATGGACTAAATATAAATAAAAAAAAATATTACCGTTTAGCTGAAATACAATCTCTTTTAAAATCAATATCAATTCGAATAAATTGTTGATAAATGAAGAATTAATAATTCAAAAAATTCTGCACAGATGTCTAGTGTATTTAAAATGATTTAATCGTTGTATAATTTCCGGTTCTATAAATGATTTCAAACAGAGTAGATATTTTAAATGGAAAATAAATTCAGTGCCCCGGGGTGTTGAAATCATGATAGAGCATCTTTTTTTCGTCAGAAAAGGTAAAAAAAGTGCAATGTACTGAACATCGTGCTCGATAATTAACTTCGGTCAAAATCACGAATATGATGTCTGAAATGTGAAAAAATCATGCCATTAGTAATATTCGAAAAATTAAAAAGGGCCTATCAATCTTCATCTCGTCTGCTGAACATTCCAAAATAGATGGAGAACTTCAAGTGGAGTGTAAGGAAGTAAAGAACCTAACTAGAATTTTGCCGGCGCACGAAATTCATGAATTAAAAAAAAATGATTCATTATACCAACATGTGATATCCACATATTTGATTGACAACCAAGGAAACTTAATTTCAATGAACTCTCTATCAGTATGCCAACAATGTACGAAAGCAAGAACTTCTTGCGAAAAAGTTTGTTGAAAAAAAGTGTTAATATTCCCGAGTACGCGAAACAATTAAAACGAAATTCAACGTCATGCGCCGCCAAAATAATAGAAATGTTTTTTAAGTGTTATTGTTAGGTATAGTTTCCTCTTTCATTTAATTCACATTACATACCGAACACATTTTTTTTTCTTGTTCAATCATGACTGATCTTTTCGTTTATTCAATCTTGTTCATTGTCATGATTTGCTGCTTTCAACCTCATCCACCATCATTTAAGAATATTTTGATCTATGATATGAGTTAGAATTTAGCAGTTAAATTAAATGCCTTGTCGGATCTTGCGAGCAAAAAAAAAACATAGTAACGAATCGAAATGTGAAAAAAAAACACAAATCGCACGTGGTCTCAATTAATTTGTTTCTTCGGTAATGTTCGAAAAATCATGTTGCCAAAGCGTTTATCTTAAACTCTTTCGAAATTTATAATTAAACGATTATTGTACAACTCTGAATAATTTCGTTTGATATTCATTGTTTGTTACAGTCAGCGATTACATATAAAAGACAAAAGCAACATTGTTTTTTTTTTTTTTTTTTTTTTTTTTTTTGTAAAATGACTACATCTGATTACAATCGAAATTTTAAATAAAATTATATATACATAAATATAATTGTTCTTTTCATTGTAAGTGTTTGTTCCAGCGGGTTATTTCAGAGAGAGAATCAGTTCAATCGCTCCCAAGAATCATTTTATTCGAGTCAAAATGATTCGACAACAAGTTTAAAATAGCCATAGAGATTTTCACGCACTTTGCATCATGATAGAAATGAAACAAAATCGTCGAAAAATGGTTATGATGAGAATAACTGTAATATTAGATTAGTTATTTTTTTAAATCTCGTTTTGATTATTTTCAATTGTCAAAAAAGAATTTAATCGGGTTTTTATAGAATTCTTTAACAGTTTCATATATTTTTTGATGAAGTACGGTGAATTTTTAATAGTTTAAAAACATCATGTCTTATACCGTACGTCTCCAAAGAATGTGAGAGAACTTTTGCCTCCACACCGATGAACAATAAAAAAATTGTACTAGGTTTACTGAAATGCAAATTGAACTTCCCACTTGTCATTTCGAAAAAATTGATTTTATTTTGCATCGAATGCGATATTGATTACAATAGCGCCTATGTACACTTTATTAGGAAGGTCCCATTTATAAATCACAAACATAGTTATGAGTCACCCGGCTGTATTTATGCCAATGGATAATTTTCGAATTATAAAAGAAACGAAAATTAAACGACATTACCGAAATGAAATGCAAGAAAACTGAACAGCCAACGTATTTCACATCGTGAAAGTCAACGTAGGGTAATCAATTGATATTTTATTCCACCTACGATTTTGATACATTGACAATTTGCAACATCAATTGTAGATAATATTGGTGTAAATTTGTTAGACACATGTGTATCTTAATAAAATGCGAAAACTCGCTTTCGCCAAAAAAAATATTAATTTTCTTATTATATTGTTATAATGATATTTATGTTAATTGTTTCGAATGCGAAGTGATGAAAACAAAAATCTAATTTTATTTCGTTTTTCATACAGTAAACGGAGACGATATATATTTCCGATTATTCACTGTGGCGGTTGGAACATGGGATGCCTTGACCAGCTTATAATGAAAACACTTCACTAAATTCATCGATATTACACGGATTCTTCATGATTTCACAATTAGTAGCTTAAAATTATCAGTTCACGGTACATTGAATCTGATTGACAAAGCCTATACCAAAAACGAAAATAGATAGAATTTTGCAAATTAAAAACATTAAACGCTTTTGGTTGTGAATGTTTTCAAACGACATTGATGCTAACTTCAACGAGACCACAACTTGCTTCTGTGTAAGATATACATATTTATAAAAGCTTTGAATTGAATTGATTGATGTAATAAATGAATTCGTGTGATTGTTTGAAATAGCCAACACCAGCATTGCCTCCAACTTCGCTATCATCATCGGCACTATCGTCAGCAGGCAACACATCGAAAACCACCCGTCGAAGCAAACTGTACACGTCGATCAGTAAGATAATCGGACTTCGAGGAAATATGGCTGCTACCGATGGTCAAATTATTTTGGCTGCGTCTAGATTTGGTGATATCTCGCCTATTTATCTCAGGTACGTAAAATACATATTCGATAAAATTATTTTGAAATTATGTTTTTTTTTACTAATTTAATTGATTCTTTGGTGTTGCAGAGATTTTTCAAAAACAGAATTACCAGCAATTGCCAAAATAATTAAAGGTGAAATATTTTTTTGATTTTATAAATTATATTGATCAATTAATTTACCAATTTTTATATATTTGGAACTACCGTTTAGGTCAACATCAAAATTTGGGCGTGCCAACTTTATCAAATCCATCACTGCAAAGCACGGCCCTGTTCCTGAATGCTGGAAAAAAGTACCAAATTTTGGCACAGCCCATTAAAATTAAGGAAGGACGGAAACCAACAAATGTCGGTGAGTATATGGCTTCCGATGTGTTGCCAAAGTAAAAAAAATATGAAAATAAAAAAAATCGATGGAACGGTTTAATGATGCGTTGATTGGTTATTTCAGGTCCAAAAATTCTTATACCTGAAAGCTACGCTGGATTCTTTGAACTTCTCAGTGAAGATGGACGATCAACGCGTTGCATCGAATCTGTCTTAGATCTCTCTCGCAAACCAAATCTTCGTGTTCTTGTACGCGAAACGTTTCGTTGTAATCATTTAAGTAAAACGATTCATGCTGGTGAAATATTGACAACCATGTATGATAATGGAAAATATCTGAAATGTAAGACCCAAAAAGATGAAGTCATTAGTTTGCCACTAGAAGCCAAAGCAAAGTTTTCACCATTTGCTAAAGAGGACAGCATAAGTGGCGTTCATACGGTGAAAAACTTACTAAAGAAACGAATGCCAATTGTAGTCAGGTGAATCAGTCATTGAAAATAATCGATTGAGTTGGTTTTAAATCGTTTTGTATTTTAATTTATAGACTTGTTCATGGTACTGCACCAAAAGGCTTGAAACAACCATTTGTGCCAGAATTGCGTTTGCTTGGATGTGTCGAAGTGGATCGTGTGTTTGCATTGCCATTACAAAAAGATACTGATCTAGTAGCTGTACCATTGAATGCAAAAGTCAAACTACAACGTGCTAAAAATATGGAACAATTAGAAAATTTTACCGAATACACACGATTTTTGGAAAAAGCCCAAAGATTGCTGACTGATGCTCGTGATCGTTTGCAAATTGTCGACTTAAAATTATCGGATAAAGAAAAAAAGGATGCAAAAAGTAATAGTCGAAAAATACCAGCGTTGATTGGTGGCGTGGGAAATGGTGGCGGCGGAAGTACACTCGAAAGTGGTTATGTGCTCAGGAAAAGTGTTAGCTGTGATTCAGCTAAATACATGTATCAAGCCGATTTGACACCGTTGGCCGACGATTATGATGATATTGATCAAATCTATGATTATGTGAGAGGTTTTGCACCACTGCCGAAAAATTTGAATCGCTTCGATTCAATAAACGAACCAATTCACATTGTTCAAACAACACCGAATCAAACAATTCATGCGACCATGAAAAGCATTGACAACCAATCAAAATCACAGCCCGACAGCGGTAATTATAGCCTGATCAAAAGCAGTAGCAATAATAACAATAGCTTGGAGTCTATCAAACATTTAAACAACACCTTTCATCAGCATCATCATTACAGTCAAATTGTGCCACCAAATCAAATTCAGGTTAATTATTTAATTGGCTTACAGTTGCCTCACGCAATCATTTCACGCGTTTTTCTATCATTTATAACTTTATAGGACGACGGCAAACCAATTCCACCTCCCATTGAGACAATTCCGGGAAAAAAATTACCCGAGAAACGTCATCGGCCAACGTTACCAAAATTATACGTGAAAAATGCATGTAATTTACATCCAAAATCGCCAAATGGTAATATCTCACATCATATTTCAATTTTTTTCACATTTTTCACATATTTTTTTGATTATTCGTTCTCCTCTAGGTAATATCTCACCCGGAAATGGCATTGTTAATAGCAATATTAATAGCAATAGCAACGGCAACACTAACATAAATGGCAACAGCAATACAAATGGAAATGGCATCGTGATCAACGGCAAAGATGGATTGGAGCCGCAAAGTCCACTATTTCATATTAGGTGAGCGGTTGCTTGTTACACTTGACTTGTTGTTATCTCTTTAAAACACTTACTATTCGAACAATTTTTTTTTTACAGATATAAAAGCTTAAGTAGTTTGCAATTAACTCCTGATTCAACTACGCCAATATCTACAGTACCAAATGGCCATGACAAAAGCATAAATCACAAATTGAGTAAAAGTGCCAGTACACAGTGCGCTCGTGAAGGAACATTAGATTCATCACGCAGTGGTGGTAGAACATCTGGCGAATCAAAATTGCCGGAAAAAAAATCGCGTCGACTATCTCGACCTAGAAGCCTATCGAATTTAATGTGGGAGCTCCGACCACAAAAAGAAAAATCTAAAAAGAAATTATATGTGCATCATTTTGACCATCGACAACAAGGAACATTGTATCTTTAATTTTTTTTTTATAGAAATCTGTTATGAACATACCACAAAGAACAAAGTCCATTTGTGGCAATTTTGAATTTATTCAAATAATTCAGTTTCCATCAAGCGAATACTACAGAAACATATGTATTCATGATAATTATTATTAAACAAGTTCTGATTTTCAGAGAGAGATAGAGAGAGAGAGAGAGATTTTTGTTTGAAAACAATCAATTCATTCCTCTCCAAAATTATTGGACCAAAATAAACATAAATATTGCGCTTTCAAACAGGGATGTTTTGTAGCTTGAATATATTCATCGCATATAAATACTATACGTTTCTTGATTTCGCATTCATTCAACAAGTGGATGACAGATAGAATTATTGTACCGAACAAAAACGAAATAAATATATTCATCAGATATTTATAAGCGATGACAACGTCACAAAACAACATCTGCTTTAAAAATTTCTTATCCGTACAATTTCAACAATCAATTGAAATGAAAATACTCTGAAATTGTTATTACTGTCACGACAATTCGTAAGGTAATTCACAGTGGCAATTATCTATGGAAAAGGTTTATTGATCACCTTTTAAACGATAGTCAAACACCTGATAACCATACAAAATTAGATGAAAACCATTTGGTTTTGGGCACATGACCTACACTATATACATTTGTCAAAATGTTATGTCTTAATGAGAAAAAAAAAAAACAAAAAACAACAACAACTGTAGTTTTAAAATTTTCACTAGAAAAAGTCTTAAATTGTGATGAATCATTTTACGTTATTTTTTTTAAACTCACACTTTTACATTGTATGCAGTGATTTATAGTAGTCGCAATGAAACTGGTTGATAAAACGATTGATTGCTTAAAGTTTCTTGCGATTTCATTAAAAAGTTATTTTTAAGTACTTACTTACCCCATTTCAGTGAAATACAGCATAATATGTGAATTTATTAATCGAATATTGAATACCAAAAAAAAAACGCAAGAAACCATTTTCGATCCATCTTCAATTTCTTTTAATCTGTTTTCAATGCAAAAGTCAAGCCTCCGCTGTTATGATTCAATGTCACAGTCCTTGGTTATTTTTTTTAATTATTTTTTTTTTTGAAAAAATATTAGTTTGATGATTTTCAATTTCAACTAAATGGGCGTTTGTGAATTAATTATTTCCTTTGATAATCCTTTTCGGAAGGGATTAGAAATTATTACGACTGATTACTGAACAAAAAAGCTAACCCTTTTCAATAGACCAAGAGCAAGAGATTCAGTCAATAGTTAATCGTTTTTAATGCGATTAAATATCTTAATTCATTTGTATGGACTTAATCTCTTATTTTAAATTCACCGAAAAAAAATTACTTTATACTTTTATCTTTCAAAACTGCCAACGTTCTTAATATGCAATTCCAATAATACAAAAGATTTGCAAATCATCTATCGAAACGATTCAATGTAAATTCTTATAGTAATAATAAACAATGCATTTATTGTCAAATTGAAATGTGTCTTTTATTCGATTTGTCTCAATTACTACTTGATGTTATACACTTCCACTGTGGACAATCATCGGATGCGATGTTCATCAAAACAAACTTGAAATAATGGCTCGCCAACGACTGATTCCATCCAGCACATGTTTGTATGCATATCGACACACATTTTTTCGATCATATTCTGCATAGCAAGCGTAGTTGATGATCTGTAACATTTTCGCAAATTATAGAGTTTCTTCAAAAAATCAGCATATTCATTCAGGTAGGTGAAAAGGCTAAATAGCAAAAAAAAATCAATCATTATCTGACAAAGAATAATATGAACAAAGCACTCACAAATCCTCAGTGTTTGCGTCGAGAACAAAATGTTCATCTCCATAAAATAGTTGAAAGGCAAGAAACTGCTTGTTGATTAGACCAATAATACCTTCTTCTTCTTTCATAAACAAAAACAAAAGAAATCGAATTGATATTTATAATCATGTTGAATAGATGCTAATCTAAAGCTCAATTAAATAAACGGAATGAAAACAATAGAAGTGATTCACTTCTATAGTTGTCGCTCTCTTTCAGCACCCGATGTCATCCAGATGAGTTGAATTATATGGCTGGCAATATCCAAACATGTTATAAATAAAAATAAATCCAAAGAATTAAATACTGAAAATACATTACGGATTTTGGTGATCATAATCAATTTTAGTTTTTTTTATATCATTGACCAACGCCAGACATACCACAGCATCTGTAAGTAAGAAGGTTTCTAAACGTATTGAATAATATTGATTTCAAATCATAGTTACTTATTTATCCATTTGGAACCATTTAATTCTTTCGCTGCTTCAGGATATTTTGCGGGACCATATCAATTCTCCCACTTAAAGGTTCAATAGGCAACATTACATTACTAAAAGATTCACCCAAAGAGATTTTCTTCATGCCCACGGATACAGAATTGAAAAAAAAAGAAATTTATTTCTCGGAATTTGATTATTAGATGAATATGGATTATTCTTATTTACCAAAGTAAAAGCCACAAAAATACCCAATGCAATAAATTTATTCATTTTTTAATTGAATAAAAAATTGAAATAACTCGCAATCAATTTAAATAGCTACTGAATTGACAAAACACATTTTGAAGTCTAATTTATACTTGTTTTTCGCTTAAATAACTCGAATAGTTTCAAAAATGTGTTTGAAAATCATTATGGTCGTTATTCATAATTAAGAGTTTTCTTTTCAGCGTGTAAATGAATATTTTTTTCTCGTTTGACGCGTTTGTAATGATATTTACTTCTATAAAGAAAGATAGATGAAATACAAATGTTTAGAAGATTTCAAAATGTGTAAAATAAAATTTCACTTTAGAATATCCTAAATTTCGATTATAAAAAAAATGAAAAGATAGTTGAAATGGCACAAATTGGAATATACTTTATTTTTTAGACCAAAAAGAATATTTGAGCTGAAAAAGAAAACATACGCGCTGTTTTTGATAATTAAGGGTCAAACAAACAAAAGCTGATAATTTAATTGCAACATTTGGTGTAGTAAAGTGCTGCTTGATATGCCCGAAATTGTAATGGCCTTTCTTTGCCATTTTCAGTGAATACTGTCATTTCAGTTGGAGGGAAAACAAATCTAATCAGGCAATTGGATTTTTAAAAGATTACATCTTTAAAGACGCTATTGAATTTTTTAAAATCTGACAATTGCAACATATTTTGTACATTTTAATGAGATATACTTTGATTATGTACGAATTATTGGTGAAGTTTTTCCATGTTTTAATGAAAAAACCAAATTTCGAATAAAAAAATGATTGGTACATATGATAATTGTTGTACATAATCTCAACATTTTTGGTACAATAAATGATTTTTTGAACTTTTACATCGATCAGAATCGATCCGGAAAGGATCTGTAATTGAATGAAATAAGAAATTACCGCCCAAAGATAGTCTTTCCTTGTCGCTTATGATTTCATTTTTTTCAAACAAAAGATGAGCCAATAGCGTCAATGTTTACCGTTTGCAGGTTTCTGCGTCTTTGATCAAGTCCAAGGTACCTCGAACACATTCATAATTGATATATAAAAACATAGAAAACATCTCTTTCGACGTTATTTTGTTGTGATCATTTGGAGTTAACATATATATTTTATTGATATTTTTGTTGAAATGGGTGTGAAGTGCTTTAGCGTTACTGTTACGGTGGTTGCTGTATTTGCATGCATAGCATATCAAATATTACTGAGCCCATTGCCACCACCCAAAATTAGTACGACAAAATACTGGGGTCCAAGTTCGCAAGCCAATCGCGTCGAAAAAAGCGAAGTGAAACCATTCAAAATTAATTACTCAGCTGATGTGATTTCAAAGTTAAGTAATCGCCTAAGTGAACCGTTGAATCTTGTGGAGCCACTGAAGAATGTTAACTTTCGCTATGGATTTGACAAACATAAGCTCGAAGAATTGGTGAAATATTGGCGTGATGAATATCTACCGAAATGGGATGGACGACAAAAGTTCTTTAATGCATTGCCACAATATACAACTAAAATTCAGGGGTAAAATAATCAATTGCGGTTAACAGATCAATAAATAAATTGTATTTCGTATGTCATGCACTAGATTAAACATTCACTTCATTCACACAAAAGATCAAACGGATAAAGCCAAATATGTGATTCCTTTGCTATTGTTACACGGATGGCCAAGCTCAGTAAGAGAATTTTACAACTTAATTCCAGAGTTAACTAAGGCCAAAGACAATATTGCGTTCGTTGTTGTTGCACCAAGGTAAACAACGTCCCAATAACGCCAATCATATCACCGCAATTTCATTTCACAATTTTGTTATAGTTTGCCCGGTTACGGTTTTTCGGAAGCTGCCAAAGTTCCGGGAATGAATCCAAATGAGATTGCAATAGTTTTTCGAAATTTAATGGTTCGTTTGGGCTACGATCGATTTTTGATTCAAGGTATGACTTTGAGTTTTTTTTTTTTTTTTTTTTGAACAACGAGTTGGTTTGGATTCATTTTTATTTATAATCCAAAGGTAGCGATTGGGGGTCACTCATTGGATCATCTTTGGCAGCACTATTTCCTCAAAACGTTATCGGCTTTCATTCAAATATGTGCGTAACTGGATTTTTTATGAATTATATCAAAGCTATCATTGCAAGCGTCTATCCCAGTCTATTCGTTGCAGCAGAATATGCTGATTTCCACTTCCCAATAGGAGAAAAAATTGCTTATCACATCGAAGAAAGTGGATACTTTCATCTACAAGCCACCAAGCCCGATACAATCGGTAATTATAGACTATTGATAAATGGATGACTTCATAATGAGTGTATTATTCAGAATAATTAATTGACGCTAATTAATTGAAAATAGGCATCGCGTTGACGGCAAATCCTGTCGGCTTATTAGCATATATTCTCGAAAAATTCTCAACATTAACAGATAAGAATAATCGTGATTTAATTGATGGTGGCCTTGATAAACATTACACAAAAGAAGCTCTGCTCGACAATATTATGATTTACTATCTATCAAATAGTATAACAACGTCGGTGCGTTTATATGCGGAAGGATTTGGCATTGAATATTTAAATTTGAAAATGGACAGAGTTCCAGTCCAAGTGCCTGTTGGATGTGCCCGTTTCAAGAATGATTTGGCACACGAATTAGATTGGCAACTTAATGTCAAATTCCCGAAATTAATTCATAGCACTTATCACGCAAATGGTGGTCACTTTGCTGCAATGGAGTTGCCGGACGTGCTTTACAACGATTTCCTTCAGTTCGTTAACAAATTAAACGTCACTGCAAAAAAATAGTTAAATAACTCTTTTTTTATATGAAAATATGTTGCCATAAATAATAAATCTACTTATATAATTTCAATTCAAAGAACAATGCATAAACCCTTCACATAATTCACATTTCATAAAAAATGAATTTACTTCAAACGATGTAACATACCATTAAAATAGCATTACAGGCGCTTCCAAAACTAGCGTGCGCTTCCAAAGTTTTTTTCATCCACTATTTGTGTCTATGTTTGAATTCGACGGTTATACATTTTTTTCCATATTTTTTCCAATTTTTTTTTTTGTTTTATAAAATTAAATTAAATTTAAAATTAATATTTTATCATAAATTGTCTTAAAAAATAACGCTCTAGCTTCGGCGTTTAAAATAAATCACACTATTTTTACTTATAAATTAAGTAGAATATTTGTAATAACCCCTCTGTCTGGAAATTCGAATATCCAACAAAGGAGAACGGGCTTTCCAAATACATTGAGTATATTTGAAATTCGAACCTTGAAATGTTTCAACTTTTTTGATGATGGATGTCGGTTTTGAGAGCAATGAGGATGAAACATATCATACTCGACTCCCATTCATACTCTCTTTAATGGTCTGATCAATTGGTATAGAACCATGACAATTCGAGCGGCTCCATTAAAAACCTGACTGAATTACGTTGTGAGTATGGTAATGAACAATTTCAACGTCTGGCTTGAAATAACCAACCGGTTATAATTGGACATTTTTTTAATGAAATATTTGGAATGAAATATTTGAAATGAAATATCCGGATTGAAATCGGCGATTTATTAGTATATTCAACTTAAGACAACTGCAGTTGCTGTAATATATGACCAAGTATTTGACGCCGAACTGAGTTTATGAAAATACTATGCAAATTAACAATACACAAAACAAAAAAAAGATTGCATTTTTAAACAGAAGTATGATTATGCTGGATAAATTCTACTAAAAATAAAGGCTAAATTGCTGGAAGAAATAGCGGAAATGGATGCGGGTCTGCGGTATGCATTTAAGGCTGTGTCTAGGTTTTGTGGTGTGTAGCCTACAATCGTGTGCTGTATTTGAATGAGACCCATTTTCCGAGATTTGACTTGATGTATCATCAAGTTTTAAAATCGTTTTCGGTTAGATTGTGTCATGCATAACTCAAGCAAAGTATCGGCTAGCAACTTGAAACCAATTTTTTTGGATTCTTGAATTGAAAAATAGTTAAGTCGAGCTATTTCCATTGAAAATATAAATCCAACAAATGTAATAAAATCATTTTGATTTAATGAGAAATTAGCGCCTAAATATAGTCTATCATTGTTGTTTATGATTTCATTTTTCAAAACAAACGATCAGCCAATAGCACCAATGTTTATCGTTCCATTTGCCGGTTTCTGCGTCTAAGATTAAGTTTACGGTGTCTTGAACACATTCAAGTTAAGTTGTTTTGTGTGCGCAATGTGGTATATAATATATATGTATAGTGGTAACTGGTGAGTATTGTGAATATATACATAGCGTATAGAAGGGAATGACGCAGCGCATCGTATAAATACAAATTTGTTATGTTCATATTTTCTGGCATTTCATTTTAGCAATGACAGTTGAATATCATACAAGTTCATACTAAAAAATCGATATTTCATTTGCTTTGCGTATCAAGGCAGCTGTATCATTCGTGAGTATCTAAACTTTTGAATTTATTTCAAATCAAAGAATTGCAACATTTTCACAGATTATACCATCAAGGAGGATTTAATGTTGTAGGAATACTCAATCACAATGACTTGCTCGAAATAACCGGTTAACTAATTTCTATATATATATATATGTAGATCAATACAAACAAAGATAACTTTATCAGTGAACTTATGAAATTTTTCCAAATTGATGTATAAAAACGTAGTAAACATCTCTTTCAACGTTATTTCGTTGTGATCGTTTGAAGTAAACACATATTTTATTGATATTCATATTTGTACCAAAAACGTCGAAATGGGTGTGAAGTGCTTTAGCATCACCGTTGCAGTGGTTGCGGTATTTGCATATATAGTATATCAAACATTACTGAGCCCATTACCAGTGCCTAAAATTAACACGACAACATACTGGGGTCCAAGTTCACAAGCCAATCGCATCGAAAAAAGTGAAGTGAAACCATTCAAAATTAATTATTCAGCTGACGTCATTTCAAAGCTACACAATCGCCTAAGTGAACCATTGAATCTTGTGGAGCCGCTGGAAAATGTTAACTTTCGCTATGGATTTGACAAACATAAGCTCGAAGAATTGGTGAAATACTGGCGTGATGAATATCTACCGAAATGGGATGAACGTCAAAATTTCTTGAATGCATTGCCACAGTACACAACTAAAATTCAAGGGTAAAATAATCAATTGCGGTCAACAGATCAATAAATAAATTACGTTTTGTTTGTGATGTAGATTGAACATTCATTTCATTCACACAAAAGATCAAACGGAGAAAGCCAAACATGTGATTCCTTTGCTATTGTTACACGGATGGCCAGGCTCAGTACGAGAATTCTACGAAATGATACCAAAGTTAACTAAGGCCAAAGACAATATTGCGTTCGTCGTTGTTGCTCCAAGGTAAGTGACGTTGTGCTAACACAAATTATATTGATGCATCACATAAACCTGCTGCAATCTCATGTCATAAATTTCATTATAGTTTGCCCGGTTACGGCTTTTCGGAAGCTGCCAAAGTTCCAGGAATGAATCCAACCGAAATGGCAGTGATTTTACGTAATTTAATGATCAGTTTGGGCTACGATCGATTCTTGGTTCAAGGTATAAATTTCTTTTTTCTCAAAAGTCGATTTATTTGATAATTGTTTTTTTTTTTAAATAAATTTTGAAGGTGGCGATTGGGGTTCAATAATTGGATCATCTTTGGCAACAATCTTCCCACAAAACGTTATTGGCTTTCATTCAAATATGTGCACAAGTGGATGGGTTTCAAGTTTTTTTAAATCTTTCATTGCAAGCTTCTATCCAAGTCTGTTCGTTCCAGCAGAATATGCTGATTTCCACTTCCCATTAGGAGAAAAGTTTTCTTATATTATGGAAGAAAGTGGATACTTTCATCTACAAGCCACCAAGCCCGATACAATTGGTAATTATAGACTATTGATAAATGGAGTGTATTATTCAGAATAATTAATTGACGCTAATTAATTGAAAATAGGCATCGCGTTGACGGCAAATCCTGTCGGTTTATTAGCATATATTCTAGAAAAGTTTTCAACGTGGACCGATATGAATAATCGTGATTTAATTGATGGTGGCCTTGATAAACATTATACAAAAGAAGCTTTGCTCGACAATATTATGATTTACTATCTATCAAATAGTATAACAACGTCGGTGCGTTTATATGCGGAAGGATTTGGTAGCAAGCATTTAAATTTGAAAATTGACAGAGTTCCAGTCCAAGTGCCTGTTGGATGTGCCCGTTTCAAGAATGATTTGGCACACGAATTAGATTGGCAACTTATTACCAAATTCCCAAAATTAATTCATAGCACTTATCATGCAAATGGTGGCCACTTTGCTGCAATGGAATTGCCGGACGTGCTTTACAACGATTTCCTTCAGTTCGTTAAAAAACTAAACGTTACTGCATAAAATTTGTTGAATAATTGAATTATATGTATTAAAGGTATATAATTGAAATTAAATAACATGAATAAATCGAGATAAAAATATGTTACAATAAATAAAAGGTTTATAATTTAAAATTGAATTTAAACAGTAATGCGTTGAATGCTTCACATAATACATTTCATTTTTTGCCAACAGATGGCGTGCTGTGTCACCATTCATGGCATCTTGTCTTTTTAGTTTTTTTTTTTTTCAAAAAGAATTTATATGCACCAATTTCTGATACATTTTTAATATTTTTTTTTTGTTATTTATTTCAAGTGATAAAAAAGGGGAAAAATCTCATAAATTTACTCATTCAAAAAATGGTACTTTATGCAGTTGAGGTATTTTCATCGAGAATATTTATTTGGTGCGCGCGTGTTGATGAATTGAAGAAAAAATGAAGAGGTCTCTGAATGTCTAATATAAAAATGGTGTGTCAGCAAATAGCAATACATGGAAAGACTAACGCGCGCTTCGAAAGTTTTTTCTTCTTCTCTTCTCTTCTCTGTGAATGCGTGTGATGGAATACGCGCGCGAGACTTGTGTGGATGTATACGGTATTCGGTTTCGGCAGTCATAATTTTCTCATTGGCGGTGTTAGTCATTTTGGCGTATGTATCAAACCGAAATAACTATCGAAAGAACTGTCTTGATACCATAAACCAGATAGATTTCTCTTAAGAAACATAGAAATTTACATAGTGTTTGTACTCATCTAAATTTTTTCGGCAAAATCAGTTCGGTTAACGATCGGAATTAGCCTGTGTAGAGTTATCAACTTACAAAAAAGTGTAACATTGTGCAAAAAAAATCAACAACGATAACCCCGCAAACCACAGCATTAACGACAAATATCAAGTGCACTTCAGTTCTATCCTCAGAGTGTAAGTGTGTGTGCACAAATTTCGTTTGGTTCTGACGCGAAAAAAAAATCCAGAAGAAAGTACAAAGGTATCATGCGAAATGGCTTTGCTTAATTTTTTTTCCATAATATTCTGTAAAAATGATTTTTTTTTGCTTCAATGAATGAATGATCGGACCAATAAGCTAATAGTAGCGAAATTGGATTATACCAAATATCAAGAACAAGAAAATTGGCTCAGTATGTTTGTGTGCGCATATTGTATGATGTTATTTCCGTGTGTAAAAGCAAAATGCGAAGCGAATATAGTGCAAGCGGTAAGGCGATTGTGTCGAATAAATATGAAACCAAAATGCCCAACCGATTCATACAAAAGAAGACGAAAAAAAGAGAGAAAGAGAAAGGAAAAGAGAAAAGAGAAAGAAAACAAAAGTTTTCCCTTCACAACATACGGGCCAAGTGAATTTCAGAAAGAATTAAACCAATAAGTGAGATAATGTGTTTGGCTTATTCTAATTGCTGGCTCGTTCGTTTCCTCCTTTCTCCACCACATTTTCATGTTTTATTTTCAAAATTTTTGTTGCGATATTCAACATTTTGTGAAAATAACGAACAATTCACACCAAGAGATTTTTAAGATGCAATCGTATGTGCTGCATGAACATCGGTATACTAATTTAAAATCTGCATGGGTCCATATTATGCGTTCAATGCTATTTTCGTTAATTTTCATCTAAAACACATGCACAATTTGTGAGAGATTTTGTATATAACCAACTTAACAAATTAATAACGTCGACTCACCGCTAAAAATTAAACGAGAGTAAATCAATGTATTATTTTTGGATTAATTGCAAATGTATTTTAATGGAATTAAAAAAAAAACAAAAACAAATTGAAAAAAATAAAAATAATAAAATAGAAAGCATTGGCCGTACCAAAAGTAACACGTTGATGCGTTCGAAATGTATGTGTAAATAATCGAATACGTTAAATAGTGCGCATTGTGTAGCCAATAGAGGAATTAAACCAGAATATTTAACGATCGGAATGATGGTGATGAGTCATTCAACATATCGCATTGATTACGTGTGCATTATGTACTAACCAACTGATTCACCGCATGAGAAGAAGTACTCTCTCTCTCTCTCTCTATTTTTCTCTCTCTCTCTTTCACATCCCAAAACACAAATTCAGTTTGCAGTTATTCGCTTGCTCAATTTTTCGTTTGTCTATTTCAGGGTTTGTCAAACCGAACCCGAAAATAATATTGAATGAATTTTAAAGTTCAGTATGGATGGCGGGCTCGCCTCTTTACTTTAATATACCGAAAATTGTGTGGCGCGATGCGTTTGTTCGGATGGAACGAAACTAAGAAAATAAATTTGATGAAACATTTTCAAAGATTTTAGGAGTGCCGTTATAGTCACAGAAGTTCATCAAAGAATAAGTAAGAACAAGATACACATATATCAAAAGATTCTTACCCATGTTTTATCTCACATTATACACACACACACACACACTCCCATATACGCGCACACACTTTTTTTCGCATTTTGCCATTCTATGTGGCGAATTATTTGTTTTTTGTTGTTGCGGCTCATACGATGTAGTTAAAATGATTTGTGAAATATTCTGTTGTTATTTTTTTTCTATTCGCTTTTTCTGTCGAATGAATAATTGCGTCATTTGATTCGCCTCTTTCATCGTATGCTACCATTCTTGTGTGTACATCTCACGCAATTTTACAAAAATCTCATTCAAATCAAACATCATTTAAATATGTGTTTAATGTTTTAGCAAATTTATTGTGAATCTCTGTCGAAGAAAAATACCAAAAATTTGTTAAATATCTTGACATTTTTGATTCGGAGTGTATGAGACCGGCAATGATGTTTAGATCATGGACAATGTGTGTATATCATATACACAGACTTTTGATGCAAAGCAACGAATGATGGGCGACATTTTAATACTGTAGCCGCTATTGGTACAATTTTATTCTTTTTCGTATGTGTATTCTTGTATGATTGCGTGATAGCGTTGGATTTGAGTCGTAAATGTTTTTTTTTTATATGGAACAAAATCGGTTAAACACATTTCTCTATCACATAGCGTGTATGCGCCTGTCGATATGTGTATGTGTGTGTGTGTGTATATTTGTTTGTGTTTGTATTCCAACATGTCAAGACATGGCATACGGCACACATTCTCGATATATCCTGCTATTTTACTTTATATGGACCAAGACAGAACGAAGTGTTGCGCTCGCCAGTTTGCATGCTCGATGTTGCATGTCATGTACCATCGTGTGCTTAAAATACAATGCCAACTATACACAAACCGAACGGAGCCGCTCACACTCTATAGATACATCATCGCTTACACCATTTGGGCGGTTGTATGCGTATTTATGTTTCAAAAGAATTTGCCGTTCCATCTTTGTACAATGCAACGCAATTGCTTTGTTATTTTTATTCATGCATGTTGTATATTTACTTGTTTTGGATACGATTTCGGTTTCATGTGAATTTAAACATAGCTACCATGTGCTAAGCACCTTTTTTATTCGATTTTTGTTTTGAGGCGGCATGGAAGGACATAGTATTCGCATGGACTAGGTGATTGAATCGAAAAATTAATGTTAAAATGATTTACAAATTTGAAATTGAATACACTTTCACCGACAATTATTCAAATTGAATAGCAAATAGAATATAAAAACACAAATATTTTATCATCCACTTAAAACTGCTTCCATACTAGAGAACACATCGATCGCATCGATTTCATGATAAAAATTTCAATTTGTACAGTTTTTCAATTTCAATTTTCTCGGCATATCGCTTATTTCATAAATGAAAGCATTCCAATCAAACCATAGACCATTGGTTCATCGGTAGCCAAAATTTAACACACAAAACATATCAAAAGTAAATATAATATCTTTTATGGTTGCTTTCTATCATCTAATTTGAATAGGTACATTGCGAATAACTTTGCCGCACCATCGAACTTTTTTAACGATTCCATGAGCAAAAGATACAAATATGCTGGATTCATGATCATTTTCAGTTTTGTTGCGGTCTTCTGCTTAAACACGTTCTCATAACATACTTTCGGCTAATTAATTATTTTCAAATGGTCTCTTACACCGCAGTCTTCGTTCGTTCCATGCCTTCGATTTACCAAACCGATTTTTATTTTTTTTTTTTATAGACAGTTTTTTCTGGCATTGAGATCTATTTTTGTTTGCCCATAGACTTTTCCATGAATAATGGAATGCGGGAAAGAAATCGGTTGAAAAATTGCATGACAAATGCTGAATACTTGGAATGCAAATTATTCATAACTGAATATCATGATGGTAACAATGTTTACACATTTTCTCTCTTGTTCCAAACACTTTCTTTTAGCTCGTTGTTCCAAGTCAGCTGATATGACACGAATATCGAAGCAAATAAGTTCGATCAGCCATGAAATGTGCAATAATATTTAATATTTCTACGTGATGCTAACAGATGGTGATCATTTGGGTTAATTATTATGTGCAGTGTACAATTCTGAGTCTACATTAGTTTTTCAAAAAAAAAAAAAAAAAAAAATTGTCAAGCCTTTCGAAATTGCGGCCAATCAGAAAAAATAAATCAACACCATAGTTTTGAAAGATAACTACTATAAATGAAACATTGAATTGAAAAAAACGAAGAATATCGTTCTCGAATTTTTTTTTTTCCAATGCAACAAAGTCATGGCATTGACTTTGAAATTTAGAAAAAATTTCTCTTTATGTTGGCCATCGCGTATGGTATTTTTTTTCGCCAATCTTCCGGCCAAAGCATGTGTCTATGCTGTGCAAAACATGTAATCATGCGGTTAACTTGTAATTATACGGCAATTGAATCTCTATTGAAACGTGTATTCGTGATCGAAACAACAAATTATCATTTACACATTAACCAGTTGAACTATAATTCCATGGTATGTGACGATCACATTTCATCGGCTGCTTTCATTCGCATTTGTGTTTTCAATGTATGCAAATATATCATTGTAACCGATATGAAAATTAGATGTGGAACAACAAGATATTATTTATCAAAACAAAACGTACAATTTCAATGAGGCAGAGAAGAAAAAAAACTGACGCTGGAAACCCAACCGAGAAAGTGATTAATATTCAAGATGGAGACACAAATGATTGCACTTTCATTGCAATTGAAGTGTCATTTATATCACACCAGAAAGTTGAAATTAAATTTCTTCTGCCCACTGTCAATAACACACTTATGAATATTGAAAACTGATTTACATATCTCAAGTTGTCACACACAAAAATTCCACTCTATTGATCTAAATTTCAATTGATTTTTCTAATAACATATCAATAAATAACACATTTTACCGACTGCATGTTTATCGATTAAGCGTTGATGAACCTTCTGTGAAAATTTGTTGTTGTTTCTTTTAACGACAATATTCCATTAAATATTATTTGCACAATAAGTGACGAGAAAAAATCTTAAAAATGGAATCCATAAAATTACATAATTGTCATCTTACTGGCCGAAATTTATGCGCCGAACTGTCAGTTTACTGCTGTCTGACAACAAATAATTTTCTACTTGAATATGTGATACGTATGATGAGACATTTCAAATATCGAAGTATAAAAATGGTTGGTTTATGACAGTTTTCAGTTGAATATTTAATGAGTAACTTCCTTCGGAAAATGAAACGTGTTTCTTCATTTAGCAAGCACCGTAACTTTTGCGTGAGAACCATAAGCCATAACGTAATATTGAACGGCGTTCTCACTTCAACTTATGGCCAACACAGTTTTTTTTTGTTTCAAAGTTACGTGAAATGTGAATAATTTTGTTTCTGCATTTGTAAACAAATCGAAATACCCATAGTTATTTAGCGATTAGATCGAATTGTAACGAATAAGAGAACGATGTGTTTGTTAGTCGTTTTTGTTTTGATTTCTGAAACTATTTTCGCTCTTATCAGGTTTCATTAATCATTATATTTGAAGGTTTCACTTACAGCAAATTGCGTTGGAAAATTAATCAGCATATAAATATGCAAAAAGTTTGAATGTTCTTGACTGAATTAAGCAAACAATAAAAATCGGCACCATGATGTGATGGCGTTAAAATTAACCCCCTCGGTATCTGAATGTTTTAATACTTGATGAGGTTACATTCTTTCCAAACTCAAAATCAAAATCAATGTCTATAACACATTTCGATTATAAGATTTTCGGTTTTCAAAAATGCTTTCTCATAAGCTTCAGTGGAACATAGACTTTACCCACTTCAATAGACATAGTTCAGTTTTGTCGAGTGGTTGTAATCATTGCATTATTTTGCATAGTTTGAGCGCAGGAGTGAATGTGTTTTTGATTCTAAATGAATTACAATTTGGTTGAACTTTACCATTTGGAAATACAATAAATTTATGTAATAAATTCGTCTTTTATATTTTCAGGTGTTGAATACAATAAGCAAGTGTATTACGGAATAAAAGCAACAAAAGGGCAATAATGGCGGTAAACGTGTATTCAACAAATGTTACATCAGACAATTTATCGCGGCATGACATGCTGTTGTGGGTAAATGACTGTCTCAATGCACAGTTTGGAAAAATCGAAGAGCTTTGCACAGGTAATTTATGCAAACGAAATAATGTTCAACAGCCTAATGTTGGTTTATATGTCTTGCGGCGTCATGTATGGGCCTTCGATTTTTTCTGTTTAAAAAATAAAAGTGCCGCATTCGCCCATGGACGTGTTTCCGCATCAATAATTTCTTTATCTCATTTAAACGGAAAGTTCTCCAATTCTGATAACCATATGAAAGTATTTCTGATGGTTTATAATTATAGCTACATGCTAACAGATTTGAATTAAAATTATAGCAATTTCCAAATTGTATCTATATTCATTTTCTCTCTCTCTCTTTCTCTCTTTCTCGAAGGATCTGCCTATTGTCAATACATGGATATGCTGTTTCCTGGGTCGGTACCAATGAAACGTGTCAAATTCCGTACCAATTTGGAACATGAATACATTCAGAATTTCAAGATTTTGCAAGGTGCATTCAAAAAAATGAACGTTGATAAGGTAAGGCAAATTTGAAATCCATTTGAAATTGAAATGCAATCGAATGCGCAATCTGCACTGAACAATCCGAATGGAAAACTCTCATTTGAATCGATGAATTTGTTTCGGATACAATTTCCCACATATTTCAAATGAATCCATACTTGGATGAAAGGTCGATAAACAATTACGGTACAATGTCAACTCTAATTGCTGACAATATATTTGGTATGGTTCAATGTGATTTGTAACTGATTCTGTTCAAACATTGAACATGAAAATACTATTCATAGCTATCGCGTGTGTTCATATTACTCGAATTAAAAAAAAAAGATCCTACCACAAGGCGGAATAACCGTGAAAAATGCGAAGAAGTGGAAACTACGAAAGATATAAGGTTTTTAAAAAAATCAATTTAAAATAGAGTTCACCATATAAAGCACTATGGACATACCATGAAATAAATGCCGAAATATTAATTGTTAATTGCATATTTTCTGATCGGTTCATATAGTTTTTACACGATTTTATGTCTTTAACTCTTTTTTATCCTGCGACTCCACTTAGTCTAAAAATAGCCGATCAATGTTGCTGAACACTTGAATATGCGCATTGCATGCTCACCAATTACAAATGTCTATCAAATACCGCATATATCTTTGTCTAATAAGATACAATCGATTGAATGCATCTCGTGAAAAATATACAACATACATATGCTTCACTTTTTTTGCCGTCCGATGTTTGCATTCAATTTTATTAAATTCACCTGAGTCTGATAATTTAAGCATTTATTCGATGGCAATCGTACAGAATTTTTTTTTATTTATTGACCAACACTCCATTTTACCAAAATATTTCTGCTCCAATGCTCATACGACGATTTTACTATTGACAACATACAACTACAATAGTACATTCGAAACATCAGAGTTGGATTTTGTCATCGAAATATTCGGAAGCTCGTTTGCTACGGTAAATGTTAGTTGAATGTGTACGGTGCTATTCAATCACCGTAAAATTTGATCGGAAATGAGTAGCGGTAAAGTTTTTTTTATTATAATAATTTTATTACGACATTGAGTGCCTCCAAATCAATGGCATTTGAATGTAGATGATAATTTTTAATTCAATACGCGAATGCGTCACCTAATATGATATGTGTTTTTTTTAAACATGATTTACCAAAAATTCACCGGAAACTACAAAACAAACAAAACATAGAATGGAAAAAAAGAAACATGAAAAGAAAGTCTATTAAATTTAATATAAATTCTAACGGTTCACAATTTTCAAATGAAGCAAAACGCATCGTTTCATTAAAATATTCAAAATTAAAACAATCTCCAACACATGCCGACGATCGGCTTAATGAAACGATTTATTAAACTGACCTGGTGAAACCTGAGCGATAACCTAATATTTGGTATCAAAGTGGTACAAGAATGACGAAAAGAAGATATGTGAAACAATCTATATTTATTGATTTTCTATTTTTGTGCGCATCGAAAATATGTGTTGATTTTTATTCGTCACCTTTCGAACATTGTATTCAATATTATCAAATCATATGAATATTTATGTAAATCAGTGTATCTGGTATGACGTATTGCTTTGAACATTTTATTTTGAACATTTGGAACTTTCTCCAGATAATTCCTGTGGATAAATTGATAAAAGGCCGTTTCCAAGATAATTTCGAATTTTTGCAATGGTTTAAAAAGTTTTTCGATGCAAATTACGATGGTCGAGAATATGATCCACTAGAGGCGCGTTTTGGCATACCATTGGGTATTGGAGCCATACACAATGAGCTCGGAACTGGTAACATATGCCCAGAAATGACTCAAAAGCGTCAAATACCACGTCAAACACCAAGACGCCCCGGTGCAACCAGAGGAAGTAAGAATATAAACAGCTCTCTCTCTCTCTTTATATATATATCACAAAACAAAACACACACACTCGCATTAAGTTTGTTGTTAATTTCGGAAATTTCTTATTTTTTTTTTTTTTTCAACTAATAATTATTCTTCTTGCTTTATCACTTGGTTTCTTGATGACATTCATTTATATATTTATATATTTGTTTTTCTTTTGTTCATATTCTCGATTTGCTAGAATTTATTCGAAAAGCACTCGAACATTTTATGTTGTGTACAAAGTGTAAAATCAATTTTAAGTAATGACCACATAACATACATACACACACACAAACACAAATCACAAAACCTGCTACATTCCATTCAAACTATGCAACTTGCAACTCAAACGTTTCTCGATTTAATAATCCATTATTGTTCCGCTGTATCTCTTTTTTTTCCAATCAGATTTATGAGTGAAAGTACCGAATTGGCGCCTTTCATTTGAATTCGATTGTTGTTCATTGTTATGAATTATGATTTGTTGTATTTAATATTGATTTCGTTTTTTTTTATGTTTGTACACTTTTATGTTTTTCGCTTATTTTATTTGATTTTTCGATATATTTTCTTTTAGATCATACCCATAGATAAGCTAATCAAAGGTCGTTTCCAAGACAATTTCGAATTTCTGCAATGGTTCAAAAAGTTTTTCGATGCAAATTACGATGGTAGAGATTATGATGCATTGGCTGCACGTGAAAATTTGCCGATGGGATTGGGATCGGCGAGCGGTGCTGCTTGCGCAAAGGCATCAGTAAATGCTCTACCAAAACGTACAATCGCATCGTCAGTTGCTTCAAAAACGAAACCATGTACGTTAATGGTTTTCAGTTTTATTACATTTCTCCATTTGGAGTAGTATTATTTTTTGTTCATTTAATTTTGAACTTTTCTTTTTGAGTTTGGCAAAATAATTTTTTGTTTTAATTTTTTTGTGGGGAGAAACGTTTAGCTGTAACTAATTAAACTAATGGAATATGAATCCTGTAAATGTAATTTTTGGTTCAATTTTTAGTTTACTTTTTTATGTTTTTTTTTTTTTTTTAAATCAAATATAAGGGTTCCAGGTTTTTGATAGCACATCACTTTTACAATGATTTTAATTTTTACAAGGTCGATTTGTACACATTGTTAACCTGAGAAACAAGTGCAAATTAGTTTCTTATTTCCCTCATTAGTTTAATTTAGTTACAATTGGCACTTCCCTTTTTTTCCATCACCACTAAATAACCAAATTCACTAACCAGTACAACATGTTTTTTCTCTTTCTTCACGTTTCTCTCTCTCTCTATTTCTCACTTTCCCACTTCACTTTCATGTATTCTTTGTTTTTACTTGAATGCGGCGTAATTTGCATAATACCATTGAATTTTGAAAAATCAAATGCTAATTGGGGCATTTCGTAGTAGCAAAGGCAACTCCAAGAACGGTAACACCACCAACGGCCCGAGTACCACCAACTGCTGCATCAAAACCGGGCGTCAACAAGGGTTCGACAGAAAATAATAGCCACAACAACTCCGCATTAAATGCCCAAGTCGATGACTTGTCGAATCAGGTATGAATACATTCAAAACTTACTATCGTTCAGCTTGTATTCATTTTTATTTTTTTTTCGTTAGATTGCCGATTTGAAGTTGAATTTGGAAGGACTTGAAAAGGAACGTGATTTCTACTTCAGTAAATTAAGAGACATTGAAATTTTGTAAGTATTTCATTTCTTCGCCAGAACTCAATTGCGAAAACGTTCAATTTGATTTTTATGTATTTTTTTAAATAATTCATAGGTGTCAAGAGGATGATGAAGAACCTTCTCCATTAGTTCAAAAAATTCTAGATATTCTCTATGCAACAGAGGTAGTTTCTATGTTTTAAAACCAGTTTAAAAATAAATGTTGACTTTTTTTTTGTTTTGATCAATTGATTTCTTAGGATGGCTTCGCTCCACCCGATGAGTGCCCTCCTGAAGATGAAGAATATTAGATAAAATCGCAGCCTAAATAAGAAAGCAACAAAAAAAAAACAACAACAACAACAACAAACACACCCCCAGTTTGATTACTTTGTCCTTATTGATTTGCAGTACATTGAAAGTTCATACGCAAATTGTGAACTGCATAAGCTATAACATTCATTTAGCCATTGTTGCCTTCCAAAATGGAACTTTGAGTGAATGGACATCATTTTTCTTTTAATAATTATTTAAATAATCAAACTGAAGTGCACTAAATCTAAAGTTCTCATTTCGTTTTTCCTCTTGTTATGATCAAATCGTTGAAAGAGAGACCTTAAAATCAATCACACATACACCTTTATCGAAAGTGATTAAGATAATGAATTGTAAACGAAATAACGAAAGAAATTTTAGAATCAAATATCTTGTGTAAAATCTAATTAACAATAAAAAAAAGAACCACAAAATAATAACTAATCAATCAGCCATAAACGAAATTGAAAACAAGAAAAAAATCAAAACAACACTTCTCCATACTTTTATTATTCTTAAAGATTTTCCTCTTTTTTGTATTTATGTATTAGTTTTGGTATGTGAAAAAATAAAAAAAAAATGTTTACTAAACTTCAAAATAAATTAAAAGGCGAATAAACCGAAGACCGAAAAGCTATTTGAAGGAATTTCGATTGTTATTTTAAGAATTCACGGTCCTAAATACAAATAAAAAACCATTAATTGCTGCAACGAACAAAGCGAAGAGCATTCATGAAAATCATTATTCATTCAGGTGCTCAATCCTTAATCACTTTTTAAAATAATTCAATACTCAACCATATCTTCTTGGAATTATGTCTTTTTTTCGCCAGTTGACAGTGATGTGAGATTGTGTGTAAAAAAATAAGTTTAATAAATAGAATGACAGTTGTTTTAGAGAACGTAAAATGTTACGCCATTGACATGTGTTTCAATTTATTTTAGCTAAAAATTGTTACAACAATTGAATCAAATATATAACTAGATTTTCATATTTCCGTCGAATTTAGATTGACGTCTAGAAAAATCGGACATTTTTCTCTTGTATATGCTTCTCCTTGTGCGTTCCATCGCAAAATGGACGATGCTTAGTTTGCCGGCACATACAAATCCAATATTCTCCATCCTTTTCCACTTGAAATCGGACCGGCCTGCAGTGGATTTTGATTTATAGCATTGATTTGGTTAAATGATGAATTGCTTTTGCTTACCTTTCTTTTATTTTAAAAGGAACGTATTTATGGGTTCCATCACAAAGTGGCTGCGACTTTGATTGGCCACACATGCACCATGAGTATATTTTACCTGGAACATTTTTCAAATCGATTAGAATGCATACACTTTCAGTTTGAGGGCGATTCCTTGACATACCTGCTTTTAGTGCTATTTTATATGGTTTATTATCAATGATTGGACCGTTTGGCTGGTGAGTAACCACGGGAGAATTGATAACATTCTTTGGTATCAAATCATCTCCACTTTTTGACGATGCATAGTGGCGAAACTAAATTAAATTATGTGAAAAAGAAAACATTTGACTGTGTAATTAAACTTAACCAAAAAATTACATGTTTTGATGCAATTGAATTTGATGCGAATATTTACCGCTGAAACTGTGGGTAATTTATTGAATTTTCGAATTTGTAACATTTTCAACATTTTATTGTTTTTATTTTTTCTATTTTTTTTGTTATCAATATCCGTTGTCAATTTACAACTGGTACAACTTGCTTGAAAGATAAAAATAAAAAATAAAATTCTTGTGTGTCGAGCGACAGAGACCGAAATGTCAAATGTATTGAATCAAACAAAAGCGACATCTATTTGAAATTTAAAAAAACGATTCTTATTTATTATCATCAGATTCATCGCATGATACTAAAGGCGATACACTTGATGCTGAGTTATCAGATTCATCCGAGGATCGATCGTCATCAATGTCTGAATCTTCTTCATCAATCTTATTGCGTTGTGCCGGATTATTTGTTCGATAAAGTGCACCATGATTTTTTCGTCGTCCATGCTTTTTGAAGTATTTATATTCGTCTTCGTCACTCTCGTTCATGAAATGCACAACTGGATCTTCACTATAGTTGCATTCATTCTCATCATCCGATGATAGATTATCAGCATCGCTGTTCAAATTTAAATCTTCTACAGCTCGTCGCATGTCCTCTTCATCGATACTGTCGACACTGAGGCCATCATCGGTGTCCGGATAATCATTGCGCCAATGTGCTTCGTTATTCGAATCATCTGAATCGTAATCAGTGTCATTGAAATTGTCATCGTTCTGATAGTAAAAATTATTGAACGGTGTAATGGAGATCGTTTCATAATTGTTTTCGATTGGTTCAACTCTTTCTTTGAGATAATACAAATCCCATACGAAATCGATGTCGTTTTGTGTCGACGAAGTGGCCGCTGATGGTTCGATTTCATTTGGTTCCGATTTGGATTGTGGTTGTTGTTCCTCTTTAACGACATCAACAATGGTTATCTCCTGCTCTGTATCACCATCTGTAGACTCAGTTCTATTCGGATCATTTCCAATTGATCGAAAACAATTGACCACTTTGAACCGATGATTTTGTGCATCGTTTTTAAATTGTTCACGCAGTTTATTGATGATACGATTTGGTTTTCGTGTTTTGCGAACAATTTCTTCGGCCTCACTTTTTCGTAATTTGGTCAAATGTGTATTTATATCATCTTCGGTGCTAACTGTAGCTGCAAGTTTTAATATTGTATTTTTGATGTCCAATTGTTCTGCTGCACCTTCTGTTTTCGCGCCATTTTGATTATTTTCAGAACCATCACTACTTTTAAATCGCTTACAATTCAAAACAAATGTATCAAATGGCTCGTCAGTTATGCGGCGTTTCACTCGAATCACAGTTGAAGCCATTGTTATTTGTTTTAAGCCGTTATTTTTCGATTTGATTTAATAATTGGTGTACGATTTTAAGAGTGATAAAAAATGCGTTGTTACTTTGACCTATGTTAGTGTTCAGTTTAATTTCGTAAGGGGACGCATTGTCACAGAAGTGACAGAAGCAACACACATTGTTTAGCGTCTCAACGTACATCGCATGAAGCGAAACGCATTCCAACGCAACGCAACGACCAAACGAATGTGCTATTGTTGTTTTGATGTGTATGAGAATTTGACGGCATATAAACAATGTTATACTGCAACGTATGTATACATGATCACCAAACTGTCAAAATCATAACAATTTACACACCACATCAAATCAATATTGTGTGAATCGCATTTTCGAGTGCATGGCTGATTTTCAATTGAAATAAAATCAAAGTGAATTTCCGCAAAACGGTTAATAAATGCATAAAATCGCTTCGCCCATTACGAATAGCAGCACAAAATAAAACCGAACCACAGTGCATCGAATCATTCATTGTCAATTTTAATTGAACATCATAATTTCGTATCGTTGAATTGATTTGTATTTGTGTATAGTTTGCTTGCTATGGTATCAAACAAATAAAATGTAATCACCATGTCACCATGAGGAACTATTAAAGAAGCACCACAAAAAATCGTGTAAATAACAACATTTGAATTCACCGACAAATGGGATATTCATTTTTATTTTGAAATCTTTTAGGCACGATAAAAATACGTTCACACATACAAACCATTCAAATAAGACAAATTATCAACTTATCGCAAAATATTTCATTTTTGTCATGTAATTCTAATAATTGACGAGTGAGTACGTATTGAATTGGTCATAGGTTTTTGTGATTATATGAACTAATTCATTTTCATTTTTTTTTTTTACAATCATTTCAGTTTCAATTAAAATCAACATCATTTCTATTGTTTATGTATTAAATGTCTGAAAATTACTTGTGTGTACCCAGATGATGTGAACATTTTTTGGAAATTTTGACGAAAAAAACAATCGGTAATTTCAATCAACATCGATAAATGTAAGAATATTTTTGGTTATTTTTTTCTTTTTCATTCAACATTTCCGCAATTTGGAATGTAACATAAATAAATATTTTGATATTTGATTTTGTGGTTCCATTTATTTTAACTTGCACGTTTCAGTACATTAATAATTGTTTCCGTCAAAATGAGTGCTCGACGTTTTTTTTCTGGTGAAAACAAAATGTCGCAATATTGGATTGATCGTTTGAAATCTTAAGCCCTATATATCCAAATGTATAAATATTGATCTGAGATGTGCGTTATCATTTTACGTGAGTGATAAATGATATGCGTCGCAATAAATTTACATTTTTCTAATGCTTAACAAAGCTCAATTTTCGATAAGTGAATGATTTTATTAGGAACGACGAAAATGCCGCACGCCCGTCTTAATATGAATGAACACAATATTTTTGCCATTATGGTCTACGTGACAAGTTCAGAAGTAATTGGAAATGGTTTATGTGAATAGACCATAGAATCGCAACGCTGAACATTATTTTCTTTTCATCACATCCGTATATTATCAGTCAAAATTTATTATACCATTAATGCATTAAACTTGTATTTGCTGACAGTTTTAATATAGCGTTAATTATTGACTGATATCGGAATTGTCAACCTGAGTAAATGAATTCATCATCACTGGTGCTTATTTTTATTAAAAGAATAAAAATAGTCCCGCGCTCATGTTTAAATTGTAAATATTGTCTTGATGATGGAACTTAATGTGTTTGTGATTAGATATTTTAAATAAAAATCTGGTGATATTTCAATAAACGGCAGACGTGTCTTAGTCATGGTACTGAACGTAATCCAGATAGACTTGAACGAAAAGTTCAATTTTTTCAGTTTATTAAGAGAAAATATGGCTAATTGTATTTCCTGATACACACAAAATTACGAAAAAACAACAAGAAAAAAAAAACAGAAGTACCCAAACCTTCGAAACTTATTCTCACGCTTTTTCATCATAAATCAAGTGATTATTCAAGTGTAGAATTGTGTAAGTTTACTTTTTATCACACGCGAGGAGCTTTAAAGAGCTTTAAATAAACAGAACGAAAAATATTGTTATTTAAATAATACGATAGCCTGTCGTATAATTTATGTTGAATTTTATTGATTGCTCCACTCGACTCTACAACTGAAGATTTTCATTATCTATTCCTCAGATTCAACGATACAAAGTCGGCGCTTACTTTATCGGAGGTTTTTTTCAATCAACGCAAAAGTTCTTCATAGATCAAATTACAATTGAAAGTCGCGTATGAACACTGTCAAACAACCGTAGTTATAATGATTCAGGGATATGGTCCAGTAACGCAAGCTCTTTTAGGCACACTATTGACATGGGGTCTAACGGCATTAGGCTCTGCAATGGTGATATTTCTACGTGGTAATCAGGTGAGTAACTATCTAATACCATGGTGTCCGCTTAGGAAGAACCCAGAAGGAAAATTCATTGGCTAAAAACCAAGACCAAAATTAGTCCCGTCATTGGTTCACAAAGCGGGAAAGCGTGCGATCGAAGCAAAAACAGCTAATATAAATATATATCACATAACAACTACATTTATTGACATCTGTTTTAATAACTTATTTGTTTTTGACATTTTGTTTATTTTTCTCGTCGCGCACAAAAAAAAAACATAGCGAAAATCGTTGGATATTGCACTTGGTTTTGCAGCAGGTGTCATGATAGCTGCTTCATTTTGGTCGTTACTAGCGCCGGCCATTGAACTCGCTGGCAAGTCTGAATTGTATGGCGAAAAGGGTGAATATGCCTTCGTTCCCATTGCTGGTGGATTTTTATTAGGATCAATTTTTGTATTTGCAACCGACAAAATAATCTCATACTTAGGAATTAATAGCCCTCATATGATGATTGGTGGGTGTTCTATACATCGAATGAAAATTGTTTGAACTATCTGTGTAACTTGTATTTGATTGAATTTTAGCGCTAACTCATGCAAACAAGGACAAAGCTGATATTGCTCTAGACGATGCCGAAAACAATGCGCAATATGCAAAGAAAACACAATACGGTATATTGATAATAAAATGTTTGATGTGTGTGCACCATTCTAATTGAACGTTGATTACAGTTCGCACAATAGATGATCAATGCACAACAATTGGTTTGGACAGTTTTACCGATTGTCTTAATCAGCAACATTCCAATTTAGTTACTTCGCGCCGTAGAACCGTGAAAAGTACAAGCGAAAATCATAATAGCGAGACTTACACAGCAAGCCAACAAGCATTAAACCAAGCAAGCGCACTATCTCAATGGAAGCGGATAATGTTACTGGTAATTAATAAATAATAGCAAAGATCTAAGACTTTAAGTCTAAGCGATTAGAGAAATTAATTTTTACCATCCAAAAAAACATTTCATCAGGTAATTGCTATAACGGTGCACAATATTCCCGAAGGACTAGCTGTTGGTGTGAGTTTTGGTGCAATTGGAAATACAGATTCGGCCACCTTTGAATCAGCCCGAAATTTGGCTATCGGAATTGGTATACAAAACTTCCCAGAAGGTATTGTAATAACACTATTGGAATGCATTTATTTCAAATAGAAAGCATTTGTAAATTGTTTGCGTTTTTTAATATAAAGGTTTAGCCGTAAGTCTACCATTACATGCGGCCGGTTTTACTATGTGTCGTGCTTTTTGGTACGGACAACTTTCTGGCATGGTTGAGCCCATTTTCGGCATTTTGGGCGCAGTCGCTGTAACCGTAGCATCAATCATTCTACCATATGCGTTATCATTTGCAGCGGGTGCTATGATTTATATCGTTGCTGACGACATACTTCCTGAAGCACATACTAGGTATATTGGTTGTCTGTCAAACTGCGTACGCTACATATTTACGTTTATATTCTTTTTTTCGTTATTTAGTGGCAATGGACTTTTGGCAACTTGGGGCACAATTGTTGGATTCATTTTGATGATGAGTCTAGATGTTGGCTTGGGATAAGTTCCGATTATATTTTGATTGTAATAAACGTGGCTCCAAGCGACTATATGACTATATTGTGGTATATCTAGACACAATGCATTTTTGCATCAATGTACATATGATTGGATTAGAATAAAACTCCGGATTGAAATAAACATTATTGTATTCCGCTTTTATCGATTCTTATTTCAATTCGGTGTTTTATTCTAAATTAATGAAATTATGTACAAGCAAATATCGATCATTGTTAATTATTATTTGTAGTTAGTTCAAAAAGAGATCTTTTCGGGTTCTCTTAAAGCATTGTAAAAATATAATTTTTATTATAAAAGACTTCAAATTTTTATTTTGAAAATAATAAAGAAATCTATCGTCCAAAATCGTTTGTGTAGAAATTCATTATTACATTTCGGTGACTAATAACTGGAATTAATTTATTTATTTCGCCGCCTGTTCTCAGACTGAATATATGTATCAAAATTTCAAAGATTTTAAAATAAAACTCAATTTGTTTTAAGTATATTGCACCTTTATGACTTTGCCAATTTAATTTCAAGAATTCTATTCAAATAAATAACAATAATTGAAACAATGGTTCGGATGCATTTCGACAATGTGTCATCCTCAGCGAGTACATTCAAACTAAGCAAAAACATTTTTATTTAAGTGTCGTAAGATAGAGAGTGGAATGAGAAATGTGACAAAATTACAACAAATACTATAATGCTATTTGAAAAAACGTTCGACTGATTTAAATAACGGTGATCTGATCGGAGCGTCCATCGTGTTCATTGACACGCTACGGTTCAAGTACATATAGATGCTCTCGTAAGCATCAAGTTTGTATGCATCATTTACTTGTTTTTTCAATTTACTCGCTGAGGATGACACATTGTCGAAATGCATCCGAACCATTGTTTCAATTATTGTTATTTATTTGAATAGAATTCTTGAAATTGAATTGGCAAAGTCATAAAGGTGCAATATACTTAAAACAAATTGAGTTTTATTTTAAAATCTTTGATATTTGATGGATTTGCCTTTGTCGTGTATATACAATTCTATTTCTAAGCGAACTAGACACTATTTTACCCAAGAGGAGATCATAAATTAAAAATATAGAGGCATTTATACGCCGTCTCCAAAGCGGTTGAATATTTAAAACATTACATCTAAAATGATACGGTGGCAATACAAAATTCTCGTCTCTTTGGTAATCAAATCTCAATGTCCATATTACAAAATCTTTCTGTATGGATTCTATTCTATCAGAGTGGATACGGTGATATGGTTGCCATACAATTCTCGCATATTCTAGCTTTGACCTGACCAGTGCACAATATAAGATTTTGACCGATTCAATAGTGAACTTATTTTTCAATGTGCGTTTAAAGAAGCCAATTGCCGCGTGTGCACTTGCTGCAATCATATCGATGTGGTTGACAAACGTTAATTTCGTGTCGAAAATAGCGCCCAGATCCTTGTGAACATTGATCGTATATTCATAGTCGATTTTCCCACCTTTTGCAAATTCAAATGCAGGCTCTTTTCGGTTCAACAGTCTGACAATTGATTTATGGCATTTTGAAAAATGATTGCATCAATGGACGATTGTATGGCACGGATTAATTTCACATCATCTGCAAATAATAATACAAGTGCATTTGACACGATTTCGACAATGTAGTTAATAAAAACAATGAAGAGACAAGGTCCCAAAATACTTCCCGCTGGTACTCCAGAAGATACAGTGAAAGTCTTTGACCTTCGTTCACCGATTCCAACAAATTGTGTGCGAGCTGTCAAATATCCATGAAACCATTTGACAAGTCCACGGCCGAATCCAAAACCCACCAGCTTCTGTAGTAATTTCTTGTGGTTCACACGATCGAAGGCTTTCTCAAAATCGGTGTACAATACATCTGTTTGGCATTTTTTGGTCATCAAGTCGATCGTGAAATTATATAACTGCAGTAAATTTGTCGATGTCGATCGATTTTTCACGAATCCATGTTGGCTGTGGCTGATTTTCGAATTAATGAATGTGTCAATTTTGTTATACACAACAATTTCGAAAAGTTTTGCTATTGTTGGTATTATAACGATCGGTCGATAATTCGATGCACTGCTTTTCTTTCCAGACTTGTAAATTGGCACAATTCGGGAATTTTTCAACGACGCAGATACACATACTCGAAGCAGTGACTTACGGAATAGCACTGTTAATGGCTTTGACAATGTATGTGCACAGTTTTTCAGCAGTTTTGGTAAAATACCATCCGGTCCGGCTCCTTTGTTCACGTTGATCGCTTGCAAGGCTTTCAACACATCGACTTCATTTATGTCAATGTCAAGTGATACGTTTCCGCATCCATCCAGCAATTGATCCAAGTTGATATAGTCACTCTGTGTATATTGATTTTGGATTCTGTTTATATTGATTTCAGATTTTCTTGCCCGTTTGTATGTCTTTCTTCTGACATTTTTCAAGTGCTTCAAATGTTTCGTATACCACGGTGGATCGGTGTTTTTTTGCACGGTGATTTTCGGAACAAAAGTATCGATTGCCTCGTGTAGAACATTGTCGAAAATTTGGAACGCATTTTCGAGGTCATCTATCCAATTTATTCCAGACAAAACATCATTGGCAGTAAAAAATGCATTGATCTCGTCGGAATCGGCTAAGTTATATGCATAAATTTCCGATAAGTGCTTTGATGCGGGCTCTTTTCCATCAATTGTCACTTCAATTTCAATTGCTTTGTGCCAAATGTCGGATTTTTTCAATTGTCTTGTTGATTCAATCATCGACATTTCATAAAACATGTTTGTGAATACAAGATCCGAAACATTTCCGGCTGAATTTTCGATATTTGACAGTTGGTGAAATCCACAGTCGAACATTGTGTCAAAAACAGCAATGCCACCTTCTGTCGACACATTGATTGGCAAATAATAATCACCATCATCGGCTTTAATCCATTTGACACCTAGTTGATTAAAATCACCATATAGATGGAATTAAGTGACACGGAAGTGGTGTTGCATCTTACATCATCAACAGGACGAGTTAAACCCGTTTTCTCGAGAGAAAAACCCACAATGTTGTATTAAATTAATTATTGACTGATTTATTACCACTTGAACTTCGATATGATTTAAAAGAAAGTTTTTTTGTAAAACTCGAAACTGCCTTTTCAGCGTAATAACACTGTGCGATTTAATGGAGACTCCACCATTTTTACATAATTTGGGTATGCTGATTTCAATGGCATCACCCGTTTTTCTCTAACATGTCAGGATTTTCCACAATTCCCCTAGAGAGTTTTCCGGAAAACCAAAATTGTCTGTTTATACTCTAGTAACATTTTGAATTCATGCAATATCTCAGAAGGGTGACCAGTAGTATAAAAATGTATTCGTTCGTTCGTAGAATATTTTTTTGGTCTTTTTGTTCGTTCGTTCGTTCGTAAAATTGTATTGCGTTCGTTCGTTCGTTCGTAGAAAATGAAATGTTTGGATTGTTCGTTCGTTGATGGTACGAACAACGAACAACGAACACGTTCGTTCGTTCGTAATTTATGAAAATTTATTTTCTCAAAATAAACAAATATTTTGATACTAAATGTAAATTGGAAAAACCTGTAATCTATTTTTCCCGCTTTTCCGATGAGAAATCGTGAAAATAAGCAAAATTGACTCCCGTAAGAAAAAAAAATTCACTTTTTTTGTGTATTATACCCAGTCTCCGAGAGTTTCATATAAGGTTGCCATGTAACAGCAGAACATTTTTTTCGTCTTTTCGACCGTCTTTGTGCTGCTACATGACTAGCTTACATATATGAAACTCTCTCAGACTGGGTATAATGCAAGAAAAAAGTGAAATTTTTTTTCTCGATATTTTTGTGCACTATACCGAGTCTCCGAGAGTTTCATATAAGCTTGCCATGTAGCAGCACAAAGACGGTCGAAAAGACGAAAAAAATTTTTTTTTCAATATTTTCGACTATCTTTCTGCTGTTAACATGGCAACCTTATATGAAACTCTCGGAGACTGGGTATAATACACAAAAAAGTGAAATTTTTTCTTTCTTACGGGAGTCAATTTTGCTTATTTTCACGATTTCTCATCGGAAAAGCGGGAAAAATAGATTTAAGGTTTTTCCAATTTACATTTAGTATCACAATATTTGTTTATTTTAGAAAATAAATTTTCATAAATTACGAACGAACGGACGTATTCGTTGTTCGTTGTTCGTACGAACAACGAACGAACAATCCGAACATTTCATTTTCTACGAACGAACGAACGAACGTAATACAATTCTACGAACGAACGAACGAACAAAAAGACCAAAAAATATTCTACGAACGAACGAACGGTTTGTTCGTTAGTATTCGTGGACAGCTATGTACTATATGTACTAATATCAGCAATATGCTTTGGACTAACTCGCTATTGTCGCACATCAAAGCCCAGAACGCGGGCAAAAGCACAAAAATACGCTTTGCTTGAATCACAAGACACCGAAAATCCATCGTGTAAGTAATTCGCATCGTCAATCATCGTTGGAATATTTTTTTAATCAAATTTTTATTTTTTTTGGTTTTTTCGCAGTGAATCGTGCAGTTCCAATGACCGATGAGTCGGACACAGATTCAGATGTCTTATTTGAAAATCAAAACAAATCGAATGGTGTGCATCGCAGCAATGGAACGTTGAAAAATGATCACAAAACGTACACGACAACGCGTATGGGAAGAAGAATCAAAGCGTAAACAAAGATGGCCTTCTTGTTCATTAAGACAGTTTTATAGTGAAAACAAATTTTAAGTGAAGAGTATTATTTAACTAATATCTGTGTGATGCCAAAACTTATTTAAAAAAAAAAAAAAATTATTTGATAGATAAAATGTAATTTTATTTCAGAGATTGTTGAAATCAACACCAGTTTTTAAAAGAACCCCAAAACAATCTAGTCTGTGAGTGGTAATTTAATTGAAACTAAGTGTCTATTGTTTATTGAACAAAATGCTTTCAACCAAAAAATTTGAAACAAAAAAAATAAAATTGTAAAAAATAGCTTGAAGTCTTCTCGTTTCCAGAGCTAAAAATTGACTAATTGAAAAAAAAATTGTGTCACGAGAGACAGAAAAGAAGGAATAAGATATATGCATGCGTTGGTTTTGTGGATTTATTGGGCTGTTTACTTAGCTCTGCATAGCACGCATTCGTGACTTTGGTTTTACTATTTTCTACTTTAACAATTTTTTCCATAAATAAAATAACACGCTTGATAGATATTCTTCATGGTATGGGTAGAAGTTTCGGCAATCTTCAAAGGTAAGGAGTTGAGAGCTGTATTTCAATTTATTTGCAACTTAGTGATTGTATTTGTCGCTAGCATGACGGAAAGTTGCTGAAATGAATATTATATTAGTAATATAATATGTAAGTATACTATATCTTCACAATAGACTTATTTGCTCTGTACGAAATCGTATGATTCATTGAGGCATGGATTAAAAAAGTAAAGGTTTTTTAATGCTTACTCTTCTTGAAAAGATCCAATCGTGAAAATTTGAAAGTTTTACCAGCACTTGCGGCCACGGCAGCACTATATCAATCGCAGCCCAAGAGATAAGACCAACGCATACTGTATCATTTGTAGTCGCATTTTGATAAAATACACATCCTAAAATAGAAATGATATATGCATATAACAATTAGTTTTCAAGTACAGCTTTATGTGTATCAATCTAGGTTCGAATGATTCAAATTTTTTATACTAACCTCCTGAGTCACCTTCCGCGAAAAACTTCATTGTTTCGTTTCCAACACAAAACATGTTCTCCGTTACGATATCGTCTATCAAGGTATACCTTTCTACACATTTATCAAAATCTACAATTGGCATTACTTGTTTCTGATTTTCCATAGCCGCAAGCAGATAATGAAGTTCCAATTTTGTCATATATGTAGGCATCACTTGTATTAGCAATTCTTATCGAGTCGATTGATTCCGTGAATTTCAGTGGATCGCTTAGTTGTAACACCGCAATATCGTTGTTATCAGCAGCTCCCTTATTGTAACCATCGTGGATAATTAGATTTGACACATTTTTGACTACACCTCCAAAAGTTGAATTTAACGACCCTGCTCTGATGTATAAACTTGATGCAGATTTATTAAACACACAATGAGCGGCTGTTGCAATTGTTATGTGATCAACGATAACTCCCCCACACCACCAACGTTCTTCATAGCTTCTCAATGCAACGTGGTGTTTAAATAATTTTTTTTGTAGTTCTTCTGTTACTGGAAGACCGCCTATCATATTCACCTCATTACACGTTACAAATGCTATTATTATATTAATAATGAATATTTGCACAATAAAAGTCATTTTTCACACTACTTTTCTCGGTTTGAATATCAGAAAATAAAATGAGTCGTGGACGAGAGACAAGAATGAACTGGAAGACAAACGTACTTTATATTTATTATCAAAGTAAAATAAAGCCAATTGAGAATCGAAACGAATGTAATACAAAAGAGCACGTAATGCATAACCATCCAGTTTGATTTAATTTATCGGAAAAAAACACGTACGATTGTTCGAAATCTTTGTTGATTTGAATCATCAACACTTTATATTTCAACTTTTCAACACATTTCATATTCCAATGTTGCTGAATTTACTATTTTGTTATACTTTTTCGTAAACAGTTAATGTTTATTATGCATTTTAATAACAAACTGTTTGTTATATATACTTGAAATATAACACAAATCATATGCGAAAAATTAAACATTACTCCAAAAAATCGTGGTTTATCACGGGGGCAGGCATTTTTGAAAAATCGCCGGAGACCGATTTTATTCGAAAGTAGATGAAAAACTGAGCATACATGTCTCTTCGAATTTTTGGATTTCGTCGCGCAAGTGCCTGGGGTCTAGGTTCGAAAAAAAGTGGAATGCACTTTTACAGTTTTTCATCGCATGGCCTACTTTCTGTGCATATGAAAGGTGAGGTAATGATCTATATGTCGTTGGAAAGCTACGAACCTCAGCTATCCAGATCTA